AACAAGACAACGCCAGACCTCACACGGCAAGACTGACAACGACCTTTTTCAGGAATCACAACATCAAGGTCCTATCTTGACCCCCTAGGTCTCCAGATTTAAACCTAATCAAACATTCAGTTGATACACTTGATGAAAGACTGCGAGGATGTCAGCATCAACCTAAGAAAATCCGACAGTTGGGACAAGTAGTGTCGGCAAGTGGGTAAGTGACTTAACATTCCCCAGGACACAATTCGGGCATGATTGCTTCCATGGGACGAAGATGCCAATCAGTGTTTGGCGCTAATGTTGTCGAAACAAGATATTGAGAACAGATAACCTTCAACTTAACAATCCTCTGTTCCATGTGTGCTATATGGAACCTGGGACAATGGAAATCATGTGTGCCAATTTTAACAATCGATTACCATCTGTTGATTATTTATATGATATGTAAAATATACATCTAAAATTACTTTTGATTTTCTTTTTTTTGCGGAGTATATATTTGACATATTTGACTAGGTATAAATACACTCAGTCTGTCTTTTCAATGTCGAAGTAGGATACCTGCCAAATTAACAGCGCCCAATGTCATATTTGAAACCTTACACTGCACGTTCGACTCCAAATCCACTCACACAAACACGCACACAGACATTCGCGATCGTTACTGTTGCCATATGTAAGGTCACTGTATATCAATCCTCGGTTCAATTTTTCATGACTCTAACCATAAAACGTTTGTTTGTTGTTACTGAGGGAGCGACAAAACCAGCATGTTAAATGGCTTGTCTCAGCCGACGTACATGCACGCCTATGTAAGTACTGGAATAAACAAGTGGTAGTTTTATTAACATTCATATGCCGATCCTGTACGCCGGATGACATAACGCTTTTGGTTCAATAAATGTGTCTCTCACTAGAATAACATGTCATGAGAGTGAGAGAGAAATAGTCCCGCTGGGTACGAAAATACAATACCATTGAGACACTGCGCCATGCATTTATATAGAACATACATCAGAACTAAACTAATATTACTGCAGAGTGAACATGTGCGTTCATATTTATTTTTATTTGGATAATTTACTTACTATAGTAATCAGGTACAATCCCTTTGTTATTTTCCACCTGTTGTTATCTTATTAATTTTGCTGTCCTTACATGTACACATATATGCTCTCTGCCTCATGACATTCATTCACTTGATGAAGGAGTAAGCATATACTCCGAATCGTTGTGTTCCTCATAATAAAAAGTTGACATCCATATATTCTCTTCCTTATAAGATAATATGACAGAGCCATGTGATATTTGTTTAATACAGATAAAAAACTCTCAAAATACTCAAGCAATGTCGCTTACCTCAATATTGTGAAATTTTTCGGCCAGCCCTCCTTGTCATTATTCAACAAGCGAACGTCATCTTCAAACAAGACAACGCCAGACCTCACACGGCAAGACTGACAACGACCTTTTTCAGGAATCACAACATCAAGGTCCTATCTTGACCCCCTAGGTCTCCAGATTTAAACCTAATCAAACATTCAGTTGATACACTTGATGAAAGACTGCGAGGATGTCAGCATCAACCTAAGAAAATCCGACAGTTGGGACAAGTAGTGTCGGCAAGTGGGTGAGTGACTTAACATTCCCCAGGACACAATTCGGGCATGATTGCTTCCATGGGACGAAGATGCCAATCAGTGTTTGGCGCTAATGTTGTCGAAACAAGATATTGAGAACAGATAACCTTCAACTTAACAATCCTCTGTTCCATGTGTGCTATATGGAACCTGGGACAATGAAAATCATGTGTGCCAATTTTAACAATCGATTACCATCTGTTGATTATTTATATGATATGTAAAATATACATCTAAAATTACTTTTGATTTTCTTTTTTTTGCGGAGTATATATTTGACATATTTGACTAGGTATAAATACACTCAGTCTGTCTTTTCAATGTCGAAGTAGGATACCTGCCAAATTAACAGCGCCCAATGTCATATTTGAAACCTTACACTGCACGTTCGACTCCAAATCCACTCACACAAACACGCACACAGACATCCGCGATCGTTACTGTTGCCATATGTAAGGTCACTGTATACCAATCCTCGGTTCAATTTTTCATGACTCTAACCATAAAACGTTTGTTTGTTGTTACTGAGGGAGCGACAAAACCAGCATGTTAAATGGCTTGTCTCAGCCGACGTACATGCACGCCTATGTAAGTACTGGAATAAACAAGTGGTAGTTTTATTAACATTCATATGCCGATCCTGTACGCCGGAGGACATAACGCTTTTGGTTCAATAAATGTGTCTCTCACTAGAATAACATGTCATGAGAGTGAGAGAGAAATAGTCCCGCTGGGTGCGAAAATACAATACCATTGAGACACTGCGCCATGCATTTATATAGAACATACATCAGAACTAAACTAATATTACTGCAGAGTGAACATGTGCGTTCATATTTATTTTTATTTGGATAATTTACTTACTATAGTAATCAGGTACAATCCCTTTGTTATTTTCCACCTGTTGTTATCTTATTAATTTTGCTGTCCTTACATGTACACATATATGTTCTCTGCCTCATGACATTCATTCACTTGATGAAGGAGTAAGCATATACTCCGAAACGTTGTGTTCCTCATAATAAAAAGTTGACATCCATATATTCTCTTCCTTATAAGATAATATGACAGAGCCATGTGATATTTGTTTAATACAAATAAAAAACTCTCAAAATACTCAAGCAATGTCGCTTACCTCAATATTGTGAAATTTTTCGGCCAGCCCTCCTTGTCATTATTCAACAAGCGAACGTCATCTTCAATCAAGACAACGCCAGACCTCACACGGCAAGACTGACAACGACCTTTTTCAGGAATCACAACATCAAGGTCCTATCTTGACCCCCTAGGTCTCTAGATTTAAACCTAATCAAACATTCAGTTGATACACTTGATGAAAGACTGCGAGGATGTCAGCATCAACCTAAGAAAATCCGACAGTTGGGACAAGTAGTGTCGGCAAGTGGGTGAGTGACTTAACATTCCCCAGGACACAATTCGGGCATGATTGCTTCCATGGGACGAAGATGCCAATCAGTGTTTGGCGCTAATGTTGTCGAAACAAGATATTGAGAACAGATAACCTTCAACTTAGCAATCCTCTGTTCCATGTGTGCTATATGGAACCTGGGACAATGAAAATCATGTGTGCCAATTTTAACAATCGATTACCATCTGTTGATTATTTATATGATATGTAAAATATACATCTAAAATTACTTTTGATTTTCTTTTTTTTTGCGGTGTATATATTTGACATATTTGACTAGGTATAAATACACTCAGTCTGTCTTTTCAATGTCAAAGTAGGATACCTGCCAAATTAACAGCGCCCAATGTCATATTTGAAACCTTACACTGCACGTTCGACTCCAAATCCACTCACACAAACACGCACACAGACATCCGCGATCGTTACTGTTGCCATATGTAAGGTCGCTGTATACCAATCCTCGGTTCAATTTTTCATGACTCTAACCATAAAACGTTTGTTTGTTGTTACTGAGGGAGCGACAAAACCAGCATGTTAAATGGTTTAACTCAGCCGACGTACATGCACGCCTATGTAAGTACTGGAATAAACAAGTGGTAGTTTTATTAACATTCATATGCCGATCCTGTACGCCGGATGACATAACGCTTTTGGTTCAATAAATGTGTCTCTCACAAGAATAACATGTCATGAGAGTGAGAGAGAAATAGTCCCGCTGGGTGCGAAAATACAATACCATTGAGACACTGCGCCATGCATTTATATAGAACATACATCAGAACTAAACTAATATTACTGCAGAGTGAACATGTGCGTTCATATTTATTTTTATTTGGATAATTTACTTACTATAGTAATCAGGTACAATCCCTTTGTTATTTTCCACCTGTTGTTATCTTATTAATTTTGCTGTCCTTACATGTACACATATATGCTCTGCCGCATGGCATTCATTCACTTGATGAAGGAGTAAGCATATACTCCGGAACGTTGTGTTCCTCATAATAAAAAAGTTGACATCCATATATTCTCTTCCTTACGTATCACTTCTAAATGCCGTTCAAAGACCAGGTATACTCCCGATATAAAGATGTAGAGTTGTCTACATCCATTGCGGTTGTTTCAATGGATCCGCAAGTGGTCACTAAAAGTGGATCTGCAAGTGATCACTAGAAGTGGATCTGCAAGTGGTCACAAGGAGTGGATCTGCAAGTGGTCACTAGGGGGACGTATGAGGGCTGCAGTACCCATGGAATAGCAAAAGCAGACCGGCCTGGATGTTTTATTTGTGGGTTTTTGCCATGAGGACAAATGACAGCTGATCAGAAGACAACAACCTTTGCATATATATTTTGGAAATAAGGTCAGTTTGTATAAGTGAAACAGTAAGGATATGTGCATACATCCACTCCCGAAGCCTCTGTTGTACAATGCTCAAGGACAAGGTTCGGAGAGAATCTAGCATTCAACGTCATAATACTGCCAAATGCCATGAAAGACAATATTCACTTACATTTGAGGATAGATTTTATTTCTTGTTTCTGGTTTCCCCCATCTCTGTGTGCGTGCGTGCGTGCGTGCGTGCGTGCGTTCGTGCGTGCGTGCGTGTATTACAATATCATTTTGCTATTTTCATGCAATGACCTGTCTGGTATAAATCTGATTGTCATGTTCGTATCCACTATATAACATATAATGCGACAGTTTCCAGATAAAAGCAATGGACGTCAGAGACTTATGTCCTTTTTCATCTCAGCCCATGGTGAAATAAATCTTCTGTTACCCTGTTTTACACCGTTCCCTCATTTACGATCGAATGTAATTTAGTGCTGACCAGACAAATACGCGACCCATTTTTGAAAAAAGCATCTGTTCAGTATAGCGGTTTACTCATGACCTCTATGTCAGAAAAAAGCCCGCCACTGGATTGAGGTCAGTGTACGGAGGGAATCAGCCATACTCGGTGTACACACGTCCTTCGTGCATATATGTCTTACTGTAGAACTCAGCACTGCAGTACCATGTATCGCGCTGTGCTCCGGCTCTGTAGGAAGCAGGTATTGCCAAATTCAATTCAAAGGTGGAATCAGGAATGTCGTCTTCTTGGATTGTCCGTCGATTCCAGTTCAAAAAGACTTGCGAGCAACACAGGTATTGTAAATTTATTTGAAATTCTGTTACTGTCACTCAGCATGGTGTACATCAGCTGGTCGTGATCATGGCTATTGATGACCCAGTAGCAGGTTCTGTCTGAGTCATGAACAAGTGAAGTTTACTGAGCAAATCACACATATGATTCCTTTTTGTAATATCAATATGAAACTATGTCCCCAATATAGGCATGTGTCATTTAATGTGCAATCTATCATGTCAGGCTTTTGTAACAAACCAGACTATAAGGTTATAAACTTTAAAACATGTCATATCTTGTTCTGGTACTAATATATATATCATCATTCACACATAACCGATTCTCACCCCTCATATACCCACCCCACATTTACCCCGACCCTTGGTATATATTCACAATTTATGAATACTAAAGAACCCATTTCATTTATCAAAATAAACCATTCTTTGTTATGGCAATATTTAACCCCCAAAAGTCAATTTAACACAATGTGACACTAAACCAGAAATGCACAGAAGTGTTGCAGTGAATGTATAATAATAGATCTACATACATATCGTCATTGGAACTATATGGGCCATTTAATTACTGTAACTCGTATAACAACAGCTGTCGTGTTCGTGTATTTGTAACTGCCGTGTGTGGGTGTAAGCAAGGATAAGGGCCACGCATATAACTTCAGCTCATTTGAAATATAACCCCGCAACATGAGCAGCACCTTCACATTGTATTCCTTTTTATTTAATCCGGGGTGAGAAGTAGACGGTATATGTGTTGTACTCAACTCACCAAGACGAGAGAACAGAAGCCCACTTTCAGTGACACAATTAAGTAGATTATCTATAGATGACACCATAAGTCCTTTGATGGAAACAAACACCTGTGGACAGTTCCATTACACAGTTATCTTGCATGACTACACATTCATTGGTTCACCGCTCTAGCCAGGTGATGTTCCTTTGTGCGCATCATTAATTCATTACAAATACCTTCACATGAAACATCACGACCTTAATAATCATTATCAGCAGCATTTTCTATTAAAGCATACCTGGTAGAGTTCATAAAATGTGTGACTGAATTATGCAAAACATCTTCTTGCTCTGCTATGTTGGTATCATGAACAGAAAATGTAGAATGATTATAAGTGAATCGAGACCAAAATAATGTATTGTCCTTGCACGAAATATTTGAAATGCATATGTTCATTTCTGTTTATATTTCATTCCTCTTAATACTTCCCAGCACCAATGTATTTACGCATGTTGATGTCATTATTGAATGCCCCAAGAAAATAGCTTTGTCACAGCACGTGTCGAGACATTCCTTGCAATACCAAGTATTCCCCTTGCTAAGACCACTCTTACCTTGTGTTCAAGACATTTTATAAATATCAGAACACCATTTAAGAATCCTATGAAACATGTTAATGCACCTTTAGCATTTCCATCAGAAGTTTGAAAGTCTGGTTTCACAGAAGCGGCTGAGGCATCCCGTCTACACTGATACTGCTCGTACTATTCCAGACATACACAGGTCTTGGAGGTATAGCACCGTTCCTTAAGTCAACTTAACCTCCATTCAGAAAGTAGGTCTAAGGCATATGCGCACTTCTCAGCTTATCGAGATTTAAACACGTCAACCACTTAGTGTGCAGACACACATTTATACATTGAACATGCAGAACAGGCGGAGGATAAATAATACAAACGAATCCTGTGTAGTAGCGTGATATAGATTCATCGCCAAGGTCCAATGTGTTACTTTCAGATAGATGACATACCAAAAGATACAATTGCTGTTTTGGAGTACTAATGTACATTTTTCCTGTACGAATTCAAAATATATTTGACAGCACACTTAATATACAGTCGAACCCCGTTGTCTCGCGCTCGGATGTATTGAATCTCCAGTTGTGTCGAACCCCTAGTTTTATCGCTGCACAGTCTTACTATGTTCAGCTTTATTTACCATCGACTTTGGTGTTAAAAGTCTTTAATTATTGAATGGGAAATACATGTAACTCACTCTCCCTCTCTCTCATTTGTCATTGCATGTCATCGAATCACTTAATTAAGTTTCTGGGCCATTTGTGATGTATCAACCTGTGTTCCTCAATATTGCAAAGCGTGTCATTGTACATATGCTTACATAGTGAGTGAGTTTGGTTATCGGGGCTGTGAACATTATTGAAGTGTTATGTAATAACAAATATGCACTTTGATGCAAAAGATCCAATGCGGAAACATAAGTTATAAAAGCTGTTTTCAGCACAAAATCGATTTCAGAACTTGCAAACAAACCGCTTTACACCAGTCGCAAATAATCAGTTGTCTTATTGTGATGTGCATGAGTTTAGACGTCATATCCCACACCGCACATGCCTTCACGCACGTGTCATCATAGGAAGAGCATGTGTAGTGTAAATTCATTCAGTGTTCTTTCATTGGTATTTCCGACTGCTTGCCCGATTTAAGGACTACCTTCACCGAAGGTTCACATCTGTACTTAGTCATGCCTGTGATGTTATCAACCTTAAATGTCCACATATTAAACTAGAGATTACCATTTCTTGGGGTTTAGAGACATTTCCATCACATTAGTACCCATTGGCCGTCATGGAATAATATGATCTTTACTTTTCGCAAGTGTCTGTCAATATTTTCTACTTCGCCCATATACTCACAGTTAGATTCCCAAAGTCATAAGTATATAAATATACTCGTAAGTAAGCAGGTGACGCAAAATTGCTATCTGTGTTAGATAACAGTTAAAAAGAAGTAATAACACAAGGCTATAAATAATACAAAAAAAGCCCGGATGAACACATGTTATGTCAGGCCAGTTGGAATCGGATCAACCCAGCAAACTCTGGTGTGTGTGTGTTTTAAAATGTCTGCCTCGAGTGACGGTATGTTCCCCTCGTTCAAAGAGTTGAACTTATGTTAAATCATTTTTTATTTTAAATTATGAAGTGCATTAACTTTAAGATAACCTACTCATCTATATATGTGTGTGTGCATGTGTGTGCGTGCGTGTGCGTGCGTGTGTGTATGTACATATTGCTGTTTTATAATGAGGTCTTTTCAGGCAATACCTTTCAATTTCCAGCAACATCGCCATCAAAGTCCAGTTATGAGAGTCTGGTAGAAAGGAAACTATTTCTGAAGACAGCGGTACGTCCATTAAATCGAGAAACAACCAAAGCAGCATTCGACGTTTGCTAAGCGCGTACATTCGTTTACATAACTATTACAGAAATAATTGAATATATAACCAAATCAAATAACCTATTGCATTGATATATATTGTCTTTTTTCAATAGTCTTTTGAATAAAAAATACACGTTTTATAGTCTTTCGAATATAAAATACAATTGCATTACCATTGCAATAGATAGGGATTATATTCTGAAAGGGTAATTGTGATTTTCATTTTACGAACCAAACGAAAATCAGCACTGCGAGAACATGTCGTATATACCATCGTATCACATGACAGTTTGCAAGGTCAGCAACTGCCAAGGTTGCTGCTGTGACGACAGTTGACGGCGGCAAAAATGTTGAAATCAAATGGGACGACGGTAGCATATCAAAGTAAGTGATTAAGATCTAAGCCATGTTAAGATAACGTAACTTATTAAAAATGTCTGTGTTTTACATATATTAGCAAATAACGAGATGATTGTAACAAACATTTTTTTTTTAAAGTATTATCCGATACCCATACAATAGTATGTATTTGGATCGGTGTAAGAAACATGCTCCTGTGGTATTGAGAAGCAATCCTGTAATAGGTATCTCGGGCATATAACGGAGATGTATCACACCGTCCCAAGCACTTATCACATATTAGGTCCCCGATATACCTATGCCGCATCTGTATTCATCTCTAATAGCTCTCAGGTACAGGCGGAATTTTTACTTCGAAAAGGTTGTGAATAACATATGCTAATACAGATGTACATAAATCCAGCTTTTACTCTCTTACCATTTGTCATCTCTTTGTTTTGATATTTCATATAGTTCATTATTTCTTTTAGACCCAGCTGCAATGATATGTACAGAGCTTTCTTTGCAGATATCACAGTATGTGGCTGCGTCAATCTTGTCACTGTCCATCCTGCCGCCTATCCACCAACCAACCCATAGTGAACTTTATGGACGTTAACATAGACGCCACTGTGTCAGATGCCCGGCTTGACGGTATGCACAAACATGTTCTCGTTGACCATAGCCATTTAGTTCATTCATCCCTTAATCTCTTATAAAGCAGCACTATTGGTATCAGTTATTTTCCTCTTACTTTCCTTTACGTATATTGCATGCCGAATCAATTAGTTTTCCATAATCAAATATACTTAACGTTATTATTACTATATAAACACGTTGTCCCTCGGATATCCAAGTTATGTGCTAGAAAGATGCTGCCTCAATTAAGTATCATCGATAAATCATGGATTTAACGGCTAAGGGAGCAGTACGATTAAGGTGACCAGAAGAACCAACAGGTGGTTATGGATAATTTGTCAACATTTAACAATTTCATTTCTAAACATTGTTGGTTGTATTTTGTATTTGTAAGTGTTCGTTGACAGGCAAAGGTTAACTTCACAGGTGACAAGGTTCTCAAGGTAATCTGGAGTGATGACAAGAACCACATGGGGTTATTTCCCGTACCATTTCTGAAGCATTACAGCTACTCAGACAAATCACTGACTGAAATAAAAAATCAGCGCAAGATGGTCTTTAGCTCAGAGGTAAGTCATCAGTTTCGACTTGTCGTCGCTTAGAGACGTTGCGGGTGTGTTACCAATACATTAATTAGGAGAGGCTTCCGCAAGAATTCATTCGACCACGATGTTCACTGAAGCAACAGGATCGATCATGCTGGTCAGCGAAAACATCGTCACTTGTTTCAAAATTGTGAATTTTTTCAATGTCTTGAACATATTCATTTCAGGGTACAAATCGTCTGGGACAGACATACATATATGCCACGTGTTGTAGATAATTAATTTTGTGGTAGTTCTACTTCGAATATATTCACTTAGAAGGTTGTCGACTGTTTACATGACCTTACCCTACAATATGGATGTTACTGGTCGGGGAGGACATGAGCATCCATTCTCTGAACACCTGGTGTCATCTGAGTCATTCGTAACTATAGGAGTTTAAATTAATTGCTGCTATTTTGTTTGTCCCGATTGCTGATTACTTGATTACTTTAGCGAACTAATTTATTCTTCATCGCAAGGCTCAGATTCCTGAGGTAGCGTACAGTGACGTTATGGGCAGTGACACCGGCCTATTCCAGTAAGTTGAATTTTGATATTTAACTCGCAAATATTGTAATCAGTTCCACAGAAGGGATCGGTTGATTACAATACATCTACACATATTTGATTATGCATCATTTGTATTACCAGATGGCTAAACCATCTCAATAAGTATGGAATATGTCTGGTGAAAAACGTACCAACGCAGGAGATGACAATTAAAAAGGTGAGCAAATGTGTTTACATGAGGAAACCAAAAAATGTCACTGAATCTCAAATCAATGATTAATGATATTATCCCGAGCTTTAAGCATAATGTCGTAATGCTATGTGATGATAATTTAAGCTGAACATATGTTTGTGTAATGAGACAGACTTTTGGAGTTTGGATATTTCATTCTCATTAGGATATGTCTTCCTCTTTACCAGGTGGTAGAGAGAATAGCGCCCATCCAGTCATCTGTATACGGGGAGGTAGGGATATACTGTATATTGTGTCATGTTACAACCATTCATATACAAAAATCAAATGACTAGATGGTGCTAATAAGACGAAATAATTTAGAATCATCCATTGTCCATAAATTGTTGTTAAAAGCACACGACAAACGTGCTCATAATACGTGTCTGATGATAGCCCATTTTAATGTATTTGTTTTGATTGCAGTCTCAGCTCCCTGAGGCGTATATTTGCTCTGTGATTTGCTTATTCCCCGTCATCGTTTCACTATAATGCAATTCAGTAATTGATTTGCCTGATCCAAACACTAATAATTTCAGGTCAACCTGTTTTAGCTGAAACGTTGCGGCTAGTAACGTTAGATAACATTTAATTACTCACTCACACCAACAGACATCCAGAAGCATATAAAACATATTTCATATATTGGCCATTATTACCCTTTTCCTTCAGTACTACGTTACGAAATTTACCTTTTCAATTGTTCCAAGATATTCGACGTTAAGGATACGCCACAGCCTATCAATTTCGCCTACACGCCTGTGAGACTGGAGTTACACATGGACCAGCCAATGTACGAGTCTCCCCCAGGGCTGCAGTTCCTGCACTGCCTAAGGTGACCACACCTTATTCATTTCAAAGTTATTGCCATTTATTTAACAGTAGAAGACTTACTGACTGATTCACACATTTAGAAGACAATACTCACTAACACTAACATTTGGAAGACATTACTGACTGACTCACACATTTCGAAGACAGCACTGGCTGACTCACACATTTAAAAGACAATACTGAATGACTCACACATTTAAAAGACATTACTGAATGACTCACACATTTCGGGGACAGCACTGAATGACTCACACATATAGAAGACATTACTGGCTGACTCACACATTTAGAAGACATCACTGAATGACTCGCACATTTCGAAGAGAGCACTGGCTGACTCACACATTTTGAAGGGAGCACTGGCTAACTCACATTTCGAAGACACTTCTGACTGACTCACACATTTCGAGGACACTACTGACTGACTCACAACTTTAAAAGATAGTACTAACTGACTCAAACATTTAGAAGAGAGCACTGACTGACTCAAAGATTTTGAAGACAGCATTGTCAAAATCACACATTTAAGTTAAGTTGTATTTTAAACAACTTTCACATACAAGGTTGTCACGTTTTTTCCAGATTTGACAAACAAGTGACTGGAGGTAAGAACTTCTTCGTGGACTTGTTCCATGTGGCTCACAGGCTTAGAGAGGAGTACCCAAAAGAGTTCCAGGACCTTGTACGGATACCTGTCAACTGGGAAACTGTCCACTATGACAGGTAAACATGTTTCCAAAGTGGCACGTATATTGGTGCAACTATTTTCAGTAATTCCTAATGCGCATATGGTTCTTGATAAATGATGATTGGCTAATGTCTTCCATTGTTTTCATTGTTTGTGTGGATGCACGTAGACACCCGACGTCATGAGAACTCACTGTCGTCATCCATCGTTCATGACGTCAAAAACCTTCATATTTTAAAATCTAGCCTAAAGTCTCCATATGAGATCAGGAAGCCCACTTTTAAATATAGATAGTGCGATGAATAACTAATCGCAACTCGGATCATGATGGAAGTTGCTCGCAAAGTAGATATCTGCCTGGTGAGCGGGAGGCCCGGGCTTCTATCCCCAGCTGCGTCAAAACAAAAGATGTAAAAAGATGGTAATTGTTGTTACTCTCTCTGGCGCTCGGCATTAAGGGGGTAAAACAAGCAGTCGTCGGCTTGGAGTCAGAGTACTGTGTCTGAGTGGGGTATTCATGTTAAAGTGCGGCATAGTATCGCAGTGGACTTGCACTTCCAACTCGGCACTTGTACAAGCAGCCACACACACACACACACACACACACACACACACACACACACACACACACACACACACACACACACACACACACACACACACACACACACACACGTCGCTTTTTAAATGGAATAATCCTGGACGCGACGATAAACTCCATTTCAGCTCACTTAACCTAAACTCAGATCAGACTCAATCGACTTTGTGTTTATTATACTTGGCTTGATGTTTCAGAGATTTTCCTGTTCACATGTCTTACCAAAGGCCGCATATATCCCTCAACAGTGACGGAGAGGTAATGTTCACCTACATTTCTGTGTTTTCGATGCATGTGTTCATGGTGTGTCGTGTTGCTGAATAATATTCCAGCCTGTATTGGTTTTCTGTTTCAGATTGTTGGCGTTACATGGCACCCAGGTCTTGGTGGTCCTCTGCTTGTTAAAGAGGTACTAAATAATACAAACTATCAATGTTATTTTACAACATACACAGATCGAACATAGTGGCCGAGCAGACAAAAGCAATTGCGTTCAATAACGCAAGTAACTCCACTTAATCATGCCTTAAACCGAATCTCGTCAATGCGTTAAATGTAATATGCAACGACATCACAATTCAATGCATGATTGTTGTTGATTCATGATTGAAGGTTCTTCATTTTTTGCTGCCTTAAGCTTTTTGTTACTTTGTTTCTTTCCTTTCAACTATTTTTGACAGCAATACGAAAAGAATACTCTTTAGAATAATATTCACAATGATGAGAGTGGTCTGTGAACCGTTTTGCTACTTTCTCTCTGTTTCTATTGCTTTAGGAGGACGTGGAACCATACTTCAGAGCTTACAAAGTCATGGCAACTTTGTTAAACAACTTCCCATCACAGGTAAACATAATTCACAGTCACATCAGTATCCAGTTATTTGCAGCTAATATAATTATAAGATAATTATCACATGTCGTTATTTCAATAATGTTTATATTGTTAATTCGTCCCTCAGTACCGACACCGTATGCAGGAAGGGGACATGATCTCATTCAACAACAGACGTGTCCTCCACGGCCGGGAGAGTTACAATCCTCATGATGGCATCAGGCATTACCAGGTAACTGTAGCAACAATCTACTAAGGATTGGCATTTATATATCTTTACTTTCTTAATTAAGTTCGTTCATTTCGCGAATACTTAAGAATTGACTTTCACTTTGGGTGAGTTTCTTTGGAGTATGAACCTTCTTTAAATGAGGGCCAAACTGTATGAACGTCGGGAGCTGGGCTACCCGTGTCCTCTGTCAATCACATTTTGTTAGTACCAAATGATATTTCGTTGTTACAGGGATGTTATGTGCAGATTGACGAGTTCAAGAGTCAGGTACAGGTGTTCTCTAACAAGATTGGTGATGGCAAACTGGCAACGAGAGTGGGCAACTTGGACTTGCAATAGCACATGTCAAGCTACAAAACCCTGTAGAAGGGGCTTGAAACGTGATTACCCACTCATGTGTATCTAAGATTGTGTTACATATCGTGATCATACATAATACGCCGCGCGCATCTGGCATTTATATTAATTCAATTTCCAGTTCATTTACTGTACCTATACTGAACAATGGACATCATCGGTTGCATCCATGTATAACGTTTCTGATCGTTGCTGTATCTGAACCAATGTTGATACATCACCAGAATTATGAACACCTGACCGAATAAAGCTAAAAACTCCCGTTGTTTTGTTTGCAATGACTCTGTCCTGCTGTTGCCAATCTTAAACAGTCGTATACATTATTTTAGTTTTAATTGTACGTTCTACTAAAAGACGTTAGAATTTTTCATTCTGATTGGTCCGCCAGAGTGTATGGAATCCGTGTTTGACCATGATTTTACTCTTTACCCCGCTTTCCTCATTACCCCGAAAGGAAATATTTCTATAAAAGCATTGAAAACACGCCCGTTTGGCAATTTCAAATACTGACTTCACTACATTAACCTTGTTTTGTTGACACGAGCTATTTGGAGAGTTTGTTGCCACGGGGCATCATTTGTATAACACAATCAGGGTAACGTGAGGCGATTGCCATGTGTCGTGTCAAATCTAGTAGTGAAGCAAAGAAAAACAATATATGCAGTTTCCAAAGCTGTGTTTAGATTAACAATGAGGTTGCTACCGAAAACGTGAGTGAGTGAATTTGATTTAATGCCACTTTCAGCACTATTTCAGTTATATCCTGGCTTGTCAACTTGATGTGGGAGAAATCTCGAAGAGATTACTTCGGAAAAATCCACGAGCGCGGGTATGGTGCTGTCAAACCTAGAAACATAATCTGGGATTTGAACCCCCAATCATAATTTGTTTGGACCTCTAAATTCCGAACTATAGATAGTGTACATAATGCACAGTATACAGTGTACACGTGTCACTGACAGCCAAGACGCCATAGAGCGCTGTTCTCAGTTGTGTCTCTGCTGTAATATCAGATTCAGCATCAGTTTGAAACATAATACTGACATGCTGCTATGTAACTCACTCACTCACTCACTCAATCAATGACATTTTTTTACGTTTTATTCATATGAAAAAAAGGCTGTTTCAAACGTTAAGGTTCTGCAACACCCGCTATCAGTTGTCATCCTAAATGTGTACCATGCCCATGCAAATATTAAACCGATAACAGGCATGTGTATATGAATATCCCTCGCTCCATCGTGTCAGGGCAATGCATCTTTTTCTTGTCCTTCTTTAATATACACATAAACATAAACGGGTATCAATATTAAAATGTATCGCATCGGATCAATTTCAAAAGCTGACCGCCAAATGATGTTCAAAATGTTTCAGTGTCACTGTGTAACAACGAACTTGCAGTCAGATCACATGATAAGGTCCATGTAGGTCAACCCTGAGTTCAATTGATTTTCATTGGCCCTAAAACGCTTGTTTGTTTTTCACAGTGAAACGGTCATGTGATGTTTCGGGGGAAAAAACATTGAAAAAATCATTTTGACTCGAGTTTTACAAAACCAGATAATTCACTTTTCACTGGACATGCTGAGAGCCTCGGGAAAACATCTGTCGGGAAATAAACACATTGGTCGGAGCATGTGAAAGCCCCCACCCCCATACACAAATGATACCTTCAGTCAATCAGTTTAACCGGACAGCGGGAACGTTGCCGTTCGACTTAACAGGATTGGGCTGGATCTGCGTGGGATATTGCGTCACACGTGTCGTCACTGTTTTAAGCACACGTTGAAACTAGACACATGCTTAACAATATTTGGTCTACCAGGGTTTGACCACAGCAGTCTGATCACCCTTAATCATCAACATTTTGCCTCACCTTGAATTCGTCCTCAAAGACGACATACATTTTTATTCGCTCCGTTTTCCAAGATTAAAAAGAGGTCAAGGAATACGCGAATCATGCATCGACATTAATGCCCAGTCATCATTAACTACCGGGCACGAAGACACTCTTCGGTATAATTGCACAGTCAAGTTTACGGTACCGTTTATCATCTGTTTTAAGTCCTTCTCTTTTGTATGACACAGAACGGTGTTTATCGTCTTGGTTGGCACCAACAGATGCATCCATCTTCAGATACGATATCATCCACTTTACATATATTCTTAAAATCGCAATGTATCCTTAAACTAGAGCTCGATTAGCTATATATTGATTACAATGTTAGAACACGTTCATTATGTAATCTAGAAAGATTATATTTACATCTCAAACTGAAGTGAGCAGAACGTGTATCTTCCTCTAATCACACACCAGGACGAGCATTCATCGCGTCATATCGCCATATTTAAGAAATAAACGAGTGGTTTAATCACCCTGCAGTGTTGTATTGTACGATACACGTCGACCATGAGTAGTTCATTTCTTATATGAGATATAAACGTTTTGCACAGCCTCTTTAATGGTGCTAATAAAATGTGGAAGCTTTATCAATATTTACCCTATTTTCATAATGATGACTCCCTGAATAGAATCCCACCTCTGCATTGTCGGACAAGTCCATTTTATGAACAGGGGGGTTACGTTTGGAATTTACAAGATATTCTCACAATTATCACGACGATTACCTGTACCTTTTCTCCCAATACCAAATGTCACTTGTGGATACAATCGTTCGGCCAGGACGTTTATCGGAGTAGCCAAGCTACATCGGAGTTGAACAACTCACTACCCTCCAAAAATATACGTCCATCGAATACAGCCTAAATAATTGTTGATTGTATCGTAAAGCGTAATTCACTCGTCCGGTCCTGAAATAAAACTTTGCCCAAAGTTTTCAATCAGTTGTGTATCACCCCGCGTGTTGCTGTAGGTGAGGTGTCTACCCGGACTCAACCGGTGTGTGCAATCAGGAGTTGACCGTCCTCAAGATGAGCCAGTATCGTAGGTTCACCCACTTCAGGACGGAGGAGAAAGATAACAAGGAATTACGTCGTGCAGACTTGTACCCCAGATATGTGTCAGATTACGGTATCTGTTAATAATACATATGTTTTGAATAACAATTTACCAGTCTATATCTTCCTCGGGCAAAGCAACCGTACATAGCGAGATAGCCAATACCTCCAGGCGGATTTGAGGTTTCGACGTTTTGCTCTGTTTCAAAATAACGTCGTTTAATAATGTCACACGATCACAAGACCTTATTAGAATCTGCCGATCTTATTGATACCATCCATCACAGTTAGTGAGTGAGTGAGTATTGTTTTTTACCGCTTGTAGCAATATTCCAGCAATATCACGGCGGATGAATCACAGACAGAATGCCCATGTAGACGGGATGGTGACAATAGGTACTGGCCGGTCCCAAAATGGCATCATGGCATCGGGAAGATACCAAACTCATATATGGACGTAAGATCCGAACATGTGCTCAAACACATTTGTGGTTCTCAATGCGGACAGCGGGCTACAACAATGATAACTGTTTTACTGAAGACGCCAAATTACACGTCTTAGACGTTTGCCACTTTTTGTACAACCATGGTGCTGACACGGTGAAGTGAGGTGAAATGGGGTTTAACGTTTATTAAAGATTATTGCACTTATATAGCGACGTGCATGCACGTGTGTGGCTGCTTGTACTAGTCCGGACTGATGCCGATTCATAGTGCCAGCTCACTGAGATACCACGCCGCAGTTTAACATGAATACCACACTCAGACACAGTATACTGACTCCGAGCCGACCAGTCCTTGTTTTAGCCCCTTAATGCCGAGCGCCAGACAGGGTAACAACAAGTACCATCTTTTAACGTCTTTTGGTATGACGCGGCCGGGGATCGAACCCCAGACCTTCCGCTCTCCGGGCGGACGCTCTACCTCTTGACCACGGAGATGGTACTGGTGCTGACAAACCGAGAAACATAATAAGGGCAAATCTACGAAGCCACAATCGTAGGTTCTAGCATGCCTGAGGGTCTGCACAGATACTTGGGATCGTCGTAAACGGCTAGATAACCCGTGGTCCAGCATTACGAGGGCACAAGTGTAAATGATGTATAGGTGATTTAGGATGACCTTTGGTTTGCACTCAAGTTTTGACGTTTCTCCTTCTATAACGATACAGGGTTCTTGGTGCTGCTCGAATGTTTTTCGTGAATTTGACTCAGTGCTGTTTTGTACAATGTCTTTTTGATTATTAACCGTCGAGACAATAAAGCATATTGATATTGAGTCCTTAAGATCAATCGTGACAACTTTGGTGTTTTAGTACCATATATAAGATAGATACAGGATAAATTCGCAAAAAGCAATGATGAACGAAGCGTGGTTTCACGATTAAACATTGTACTCTCATGACGTAATTTCTGAAGATTCGAACATGTACTCGCAAGTTGATAACGTCGTATATTGGACGACGTTTGTGAGAGGGTAGTGAGTTGTTCACCTTAGATGTAGCTAGGCAACGCAGATAAACGTCCACAAGCGGGAGAGACATGACAATTGGTGTTGGGAGAAAAGATACATATTATCAACATGAGGATTGTGAGAATATCCGGGAAATAACCAAACGTAACCCGCCTGTTCATAAAATATACTTGTCCGACATTGCCGATGTCGGTCAGGCAGTCATCATTACTAATATACGGGTAAATATTTTGGAATAGCTTGTACATTTTATTAGTATCCTTACGTCTGTACAAAATGTTGATATCTCATCTAAGAAATAAACGACGTGTGGTCTTTGTTTATCGTAAAACAAAACAACGCAGGGAGAATGGTATATTCTCCCTGCAGTGTTTTATTTTACGATAAACAAACTCCCACTCGTCGTGTATTTCTTTGATAATATTTTGCTTATTGACGAGCAAATGGACAAACTCATCGCATATACGCGTGTCCTTCAACTGTAAAGTGTAGTGACGCTTCAGTGATGGTCTCATATACTGATATGACGTCACGCAATGAGATGGCAAAGCAGTTTTGCAAGAGAAAGTCACTTGCCTGAGAAGTACCTTATTATAATATACTACCGACAAAACATGAAAGGGAACTGATGAAATGATAGTGAATGTGTAATGGTGATACATGTCTTTTAAGTTATTTTGCGGGTGTAGATCAATATGTGGCATGTCCACTATGTTGGGCAATCCATGCACATCTTGATGGCACACTGTTGGTTCAATTGCATATGGTACCCCTTCGGTATTGTCCTCCATTCCGCCCAATGCTGGGCCATGTTGGCGGGTGCTGGATCCCTGGCCTACTTTCTCCGCCCGGGAACATCCCATAGATGCTCTTTTGGGTACATGTAAGGGAACTTTGTGTGCAAGTCCAATGTCCTTTTCTCTCGTCGGAGATAATCAAGACGACCTAGGCACGAATATTCTAGCGAACACTTGTCGACATATCGCACTAAAATGTCCATTCACAATAACCAAATATCATCCCACACCATGACACTACCGCGCCCATGCCGACCATGCACGATTGGTTGCCCTGGCATACTGCACGCCGCTACGTCGCCAAGAACGTTTTCTGCCATCTGTGAACCGGAGGGAAAACCATGATTCGCCTGTAGGGATGACGTAACACCATTGGCGCACAGCCCGTTCTTTGTCGCCTTTGGTGGGCAGATAGGGGCACACCCACGGGACGACTTGCTTTCGGGCTGCAAAGGGCAAGTTTTTAACGGCAGGGGTTGAAATTGGCCTTCCTGTTATTGTACGGAATTCTCTCTATTGATAATAGGAGCAGATTTGAATCTATTGCGTGGTGTAATTAAAGTCATGAGGCGATCGGTTTGTCGTTTGTTTATCATTGTCATTGCAACACCGCCAGTTTGATGGCACTTGTCCCCCAGTCGAGAATAAATCATTTTGATTTGCGAAGCATTCGGGTAAAGGAATCTGGGGATGTTGACGCTTTATTCATAACGTGAAATTTCATTGTGATTAAATACTGCGTTCCGATGCAACGCCATGGTTTTGTAAATGGACACCTCAACGATAGGTATAGCAAAGGGCCCACATAAATCCGATCCCTGGAATGACAGCCATATTGAAGTTGTCTACTTCGTCCATCTTTGGGCGATTTTATCATGTGTCAATATGCAACTGTTATATTCGGTAAATATAGAAAGTGTGGAATAAACAGTTTTCGCGTATTCTGATTGTTACCCTGGTATGGCCTATCAATATGAAACATCCGTGTTGTGTTGTTATTCTTAACATGAACTAAATAACCTGTAGTATTTCCAGTGTAACATAATGCTGCAAACATTTCAGAAAAACAAGCAGATGAGCTACTGATCCTTTTTTATCTCATCTCACGGACTGATTACACCTCTAGCTGCCCCTTTGTTACACATGTCATGTACGATTGAATTTAAGTCAGTGCCTATAACCTGCGAAATGGGATCGGTGAAAAAGACATCTGTCTAATAAAGACGTTTACCCATAACCTACATGTATGTCGGACAAAATAGTTTTCGCTGGAGGAAACTAGCTATATCCAGTGCACACACGTCCTTCGTGTGTGTATATATACATATATACATATGTTGAAGTAACAATCAACATTGCAGAACCATGTATCGTGCTGTGCTCCGACTCTGTAGGAAACAACTATTGGAAAAGTCCATCCAAGGCTGGCATAAAGAATGTCGTGTACTTGGGTTGTCCGTTGATTCTAATTTGAAAAGATGTACAAGCAGCACAGGTATTGTAAATTGATTTGAAACATCATTTCTGCCACTCGGTGTACAGTACATTAAATGTCTGAATCCTATCATTTTGCCCAGCCGCAAAAGTTGCAATATTGCTGCGACTGGAAGCAAAGTTTACTTTATTACCAAAATCTACGGGACGGAATAGGTCTCAACACCCCATATTTGCCGCAAAAAAACTAATTTGATGTCAATAAGTTACAATGTTTGACCGGCTTGATAACGTACCCCAATGGCGTTGATCTTCAGTCTTTGCTATCTGATCTTATCTTGGTTCGACTAGTCCACACGACATGCGACAGTTGAACAGATGGGATATTGTTGACTCACTCATTCGCAGTATTCACTCACTGCATGTATTTGTACATATCACAGCACTTTTGCCTAGAGCGACCGATATGTATTATAATGGAGGTTAGCTGTTGTACATTAAGTAAAAAGGTATTTGTAAAAATATACTAACGATAAATACATAGAGGTGGTGTTGCATTGAATGTAAGTTAATAAATCTATGCATACAGGTTTCTTTTTAATCGTTAATAAATTTTCAACGTGTTATTATTGTAGCTGTCATGTTGTTATGTTTGTAACTGTCAACACATGTGTTGCCGATGTAGGCAAGAGTTGGATGCTCTCACGCATGTAGCTACAGTTAGATTGTGTGTTAGATTGGGGTAATAAGCCAACCAGTACATTGTGGACCAGTGTGAACCTTCATAGAGTGTGGTACAAACGGTATTAACATCAGAGCTTACGACGACGCCCATGCAATGAATATTCATACTTCAATGAACTCACAAAAAGTGATTGTTAATTTTGATTACTTTTGTATCCCTATTTTATGCTAGAAGAGCGTAGACACAATTTCATGTTGTAGGGGTGACTTCCTGTGTGCAGTAAGAAAACACAAACATACAGTTGTATCGTTGACAAAAATGTATTTTCCAAACTAGAGATGATGTGAACGTAGGTATGCTCATATTACGCTACAGTAAACATAAGTTGTGTACAAACAGATTAATCATCATTTAAAGATACATGTACGTACATATACATGTACTTCAAGTACAGTGCGTCAAAATAGCCGATATGTCGCAGCTGCAATACAATTACAATTACTTTTACAAATCGTCATCACGGAGATGAACGTTTCTGGAATAAATGACTTTAGTTAATGAATGAAAGAAGATATTATTCCCTATTGAATTGATTATTTCACTAATACCGAATACTGGCGATACGCATTTAAGTACAACATAATGCATACTAGCCTTTGACACTAAGGTTAATAACTAAGGTTAAGTAAGAGTCAATCATTTATATCTTATCTATTCAGATACACCTTGCGTCTCTGTACTGATGCTTAAGATTGGAATAGACAATTACCATAATCTGAACAAAGAATGACTTCTTCACCGAACCGTGACCTATTGTGCCAGAAAACTGTCCCGATCTAAATTCCGACTTATTTGCCGATAGAAAAAGAGCAACACCATATTTGTTTGAGAGCACTGAAAGTAGTGCAAACTGACCTTTTACAATGCTGTTTTAAATCTTTCTTTTTTTAATCAATCCTATCCATATATATTTCTGTTTTGTGTGAAGGTTTCCTGAGTCCCAACTTTTACATTTCCAGCAACAGCAACAGCAACAGCACCATCACCGTCACCATCAATGTCCAGTTATGAGAGTCTGGTTGAAAGACGACTATTTCTGAAGGCAGCGGTAAGTCCATAAAATCTTGCAAAAACATATTTAAAGCAGAATTCCATACGGTGCAACTCAATATCCCACTCCCAAGGTTTGGTGGGAGTGAACATCCTCCTTCGTATTTATTAACAAAAGATGCAAAATAAATCTGTCAAATAACCGTTGACGTAACGGGTATTGGCAGACTTTTTAAAAGCAAAACATTGCATAAATTGCATTGATACAAAATGAGTGTTTTCAAATGATGTAGAGTATAATATTGTACTTCTTAAATGAGACATATCAAGATAGGCAGTGGTTGTATGTTAAAAGGTAACAGTGATTTCATTTTACAAATCAAAATGAAAATATGAAATGCGAGAACATATCATATGTATGTCATCGTATAACCTGACAGTACGCAAGATCGGCAGATGCCAAGGTCGCCGCTGTGACGACAGTTGACGGCGGCAGAAATGTTGAAATCAAATGGGACGACGGTAGCGTATCAAGGTGAGCCATCAATATCAATACCATGTAAAAATAACATTGCTATTTAATCATGTCTTTGTGTTTCGTATATCAACAGAAAACTCTGATGGTTGTAACAATGTATTGACGTTTTGAAGTATTACACAATGCACTCGCAAGAGTATAATACCTTACTACTGCGTTTTTATTCTTTACTCTATCAAAATGAGACCACATATATTCAATTTGCCTAATGACGCATCGATATTCTTAAAAAGGTCTGGTGGAATTCCTACTTCAAACAGGTAGTAAGTGGCATGTGTTTATCTGGATGTACGGCGATCCAGGTGTTACTGTCTTAATCTGTCATCTGTTTGTTCTCTTATCTCACCCTGGTAAGTCTTACCGACTACATGTAACTCAACCCAGAGACACGGTGTCAAGACAATTCTATCAATCAAATGTTAGGAGGAATAAGCCACACACGTGGATATATTAACACTGGTATATGTATTAGAGGTTGGCCGATTCACATACAATGCGCGATTTTACATGTCCGATTCAATTCGAATCGATCGATTCATGATTTAACTACTCAAGTTGGTATCACTTGTTTTACACTACGTTTTTTTCAAACATTTGAGTATTTATAAATTTAAGCTTAAAGAATGGTGCATCTTTTGTATTTCAGAATCATGTTGAATGTAAATAATAAAAAAATACACCCTTTGTTTTCTGTTTTATTTGGTGTTCAGTTTCAGCATAATGCAAGTGAATATTAACGACAACTAATGCCTAAAACACTCATTCAAAACTAGCTAATTCGTGCGACCAACCAGCAAGCTAAAAGTCCTCTTTTACACTCATAACACTTCAGGTATTACTAGGCGGACCAGCGCTCATGACATGACTTCAGGTACTACGTAAGTCTTTCAACACCAGTCAACCAGAAGCGTTTACTGCTGTGACGCCGACTTCCCAGAGACTCTTGTGTGATAGATGAAGCCAATATTTATCAAAGAATACATATGCTTGTGAAACATCTTTGCTCCCATAGATCTGTATGTTATACACTAGTTGAAAGGTTTGGTCATATTGTTTATAAATATAAAAGTTATGTTGATCACATTGTTTAAATAATGCATTTACAACTTAATTAAGTTCGTTGTAAATATAAACATATAAGCTAACACATTCATAACGTTCACATTAAGGGCCAAGGAAGTGAAAATCCCCTTACCTATTTCTTTTTTATTTTCTATGTTTACGTAATTGGAAAAGCATTGTAAAAAGAATTTTAAAAGTATCTGTCGTCAACAATTTCCCGATAACAACGGTTGTCCGCTCAGTAACATGAAGAAATACCCCCGTTTCCGAGGCTTCGTATGAAGAACATGTTCGTCGAAGACTGGCATATGACACATCGCTAGAAATCTAATTCTTTCATCTACACGCTCGTAACATCGCCTGGAGTCTTTTCGTAGTTATAAAAAAAATGATTTCATTGGATAAAAATTGGTTTCTAATGACGCTTTCTTGCCGAAATCTGCTACAAGGTTCGTGATTGGTCAAATATGTGCATGTGACCTAAGGCAGCCAATCCGTCCTCGTGTATGATGAATTTGACGAAAGATTTCTGTTAAATCGTGCTATTCTGAACGTTTTAAGCAGGAAATCGCGATCTATATTAAAGATATGGAGCTTCGTAGATGTATCGAGCTAGGTTACGAGCTGTGACAAAAAATGTTCATGCATATATTTTGGCATTAAACATCGTTCCCGAGCCGAGAATTCGAGGCGACCAAAGCCGAGATGTCATTTGATTTACATTACACGCGATCGCACGTAAAGATGGAAATAATAACTTAGCTGTAAGTTTGACAACTTTTAGATATATTTTTGTTGATATGATTTATTACTTTGTATACCATATTTAAAGTTTTGCTTGAAACGTCCTCATTTTGCTCTTTGACATGTTCGATGTTGACCCGCTGTCGAAGTGTGTATCCGAGAATTATATTTTCAATAACATTGCGGGGAACACCTTGAGAATACAGTACCACAACTTCTCGTGGGGACGGTGTGTGCCGTAGGTCACATGTCTCAAAGACATGCAACCAGGTTTTGTGATATCCGTTCGGGCGCGAACTCGCAACCGTCGTAATTGTTAGCCTGACAACTAACCGACTGAGCTACGTCCACAGTATAGGTGACGGACAGTTACGAAGGTTACGGGTAGGCATGGTGTCTCGTCCCATTCCGTAATACAAGATACCATGTGGCGAGGAATGTTCCGATATGGCGTAAAGGGACGATTGAAGGGATCCAAGGGCTAAGGATAGAGTTCGGGGTAACCTACCCTAACACTAGCGATATGTGGATGTGTTCAGCGCCAATATATTATCCCTAATAAACTGCATTCTTGTGCATAATTATGAAAATTAATGAACCGAAAAAATAATCTATGTATATTAGTTCCCATTTATAACCATTTTAGCCACTTGAATTACGAGAAAAAACGAAATATATATATATATATATAAAATAAAAGTGCTTTCGTAAACTAGCGCTTGCTATAAAATGCGCCGCCGTAGGCTATATTTAGTAAACAAATTTTCAAAACTCTCCACACCGTTTGGCGTATTCAATGACATTTCGTGTAGAGATGATAGATCACTGGGAGGAGCCTATGCACTGGTCGATCCCAATTGCGTGGCTCGATGCTCATGATATTTATCACTGGATTGTCTGGTCCAGACTCGATTATTTACAAACCGCCGTCAAATAGCTGGAATATTGCTGAGTGTGGCGTTAAACAACAAACCAACCAACCAACTATATAACTGAACAGGTTTGCTTGATATTGTGCATGCTCACAATGTCCAGTGAATTCCTGGTTCAGAATGAACCGTAACAACAAAAGTGGGTTTGGCTGGGGGGCTGGGTTGGGTTAAGAGAACTGGTGCTCTAATCGTCTAAGGCTCCGCGATTCGCTGTGTGGAGTTGCGTCCCTTAGGCACACCAGAAACCTGTGATTGGTGGTTCGAATCCCGGTTCACCCAGATTGTGTTCCTAGGTTTGTCAGCACCATACAAGTGCTCGTAGGTATCACCAAAGTGGTAAACATCTGAGACCTGCATCACTTCTTACTTCCCTCCCACATAAACTTAACGCGCAGTGATAAAACTGAAACACTAATAAAGCGTTAGAAATTGGCACTGGTCCTGTAGTCCTTGCCGAACTGCCCAATAGTTAAGGTATCATAAGGACTAGTAGAAATTTGCCATTTTTAAGGGCTTTGCTAAATGTTATCATTATAAGGACTAGTGGACTAAAACTGTTAGATTCTACCGCTGTGATAAAAGTGCCGTTAAATCACCTCACTCACTTAACCCTACATTGCATAACTTGTTTATTCATTAGTACTCCGTCACAAAATGTACCACTGGTATAAGAGAACGGGTCGTTAATAATTTCTTTTTGCATTGGCTACAATTACATGCAGAGATCGTTTTTGCATTTTGCAGATATCACAGTATGTGGCTGCGTCAATCTTGTCACTGTCCATCCTGCCGCCTATCCACCAACCAGCCCATAGTGAACTTCAAGGACGTTGATGTCGACGCCACTGTGTCAGATGCCCGGCTTGACGGTATGCACAAACATGTTCTCGTTGGTCACAGCCATTTGGTTTATTAATCCCTTAATCTCTAAAATACAGCACTATTACTATCACTAATTTTAAATTACTTTCTTTTTAAAGTATCGTACATTATAAATTAAGATTATGAACATGTATAATGGTCACGAGCTTCATAACAAGAAATGCTTAGCATTAAAATGACTATAGACGTGCCTTATCTCGGTGAGATCACGTAGAAAAGCAAAACATTTTCCTAAATATATTATCAGTGATATTTCATGGTTTGCCTGGCATGCGAAAACTACAACCATCAGGAACAGAACAACCTGCAATAGGCATCCATGGATAGTGCGTTTACATTTGATTTGTTTGGTACACGTATATGTACTTCTGTACGATTCTTAGCTGTGCATCCTACTGGTACCATTTTGTATGTGTAAGTGTACGTTGACAGCCAAAGGTTAACTTCACAGGTGACAAGGTTCTCAAGGTAATCTGGAGTGATGACAAGAACCACACGGGGTTATTTCCCGTTCCTTTTCTGAAGCACTACAGCTACAGTGACAAATCACTGGCAGAAATAAAACATCAGCGCAAGATGGTCTTCAATTCTGAGGTAGGCATCAGCTTCGCCTTGTCATTGCTCATCTACTTGATCGAGCGCAGTTATGTCAGTCACGGAAAACATTCCTACTGTCAAACGTTTTCAGCATATTCATTTTGATTTTCGAACCACGTAAGAAAGATATACATATATGTCATATGGTGTGGATTAATTCATTGTTGTTGCGTTACTTTAAATAATATTTAGAAGGTTGCAGACTGTTCCTAATGTAAACTGTATCGTGACCTTGACCTTCAATATGGATGTTACAAGTCGGGGAGGGCGTGGTCATCCTTTCGGTGAACACCTGGTGTCATCTATGTCCACATTACAGTTATTCAATGGATTTACAATGTATCGGCGTCATTCGTATGTTAATTTTCCCCATTGCTAATTATTTCGTTACTGTAGCAAACTAATTTATTCTTCATCGCAAGGCTCGGATTCCTGAGGTAGCGTACAGTGACGTTATGGGCAGTGACACCGGCCTATTCCAGTAAGTTTGTTTTGATATTTAACTAACAAATATTTTTTGTCAGTTCTACAGAAGGGATCGGTTGATTACAATACATGTACACAATTTTGATGATATCACGTTTCTGTCACCAGATGGCTAGACAAGCTCGATAAGTATGGAATAGTTCTGATGAAAGGTGTACCAACGCAATCCATGACAATTAGAAAGGTGAGCGGTTGTATTCTAATTTGAAAAACATAAACATGTCATTGAATCTCAAATCAATACGTAATCATACAAGCCATTTGTGATTATCCAATGTATCTTCATTCTATTAAGGTAAATACCCTGGACATATTCATTACAATAGCTTCATGTCAAGCCCGAGTCCAATGAAATGGCACGGAAAACAGCCATCCAATCAAATTACACCCATGAGCGACAGGCATTCAATGCTTAGGTTAAAATGACGACGCCAATTCCGTGTCTTCCCGAGGCAAGGGAGTTGAACTGAGTGTTAAATTTCCAGTTTCCACCCTTGCCGAATTAAAGACTGGAATTTCTGGGCTTGGTCAAAGCGCCACCAGTGGCTAGTTCGAGTAATATCCTTTCTATGTCCCTCCTTATGATCAGTCAGATTCCTCTCATATCATTTGCACTTGCGTCAAGGGGATCTGATCGATAATCAAAATCTAATGTGTAATAAAAAGAGTCTTCCTTCGCGTAGTGCATCCAAACATGAAAAGATTTGGAAAATATCTTTTGACGATGAGTTGGCAGTATACATGCTTTGCAAATCCTGCCACAGACTGAAATCTGCACGGCAGTGAGTTCACTAACCAGATGTCTATTACGTTACGCGAGTTTGATTGGACTATGAATAGACTACTCCAGCGAAAATACAATCCCATAAATCCAACCAAGTTCGGCAAGGGTAGAAACTGGGCTTTTATAGTCAATTAACTCCTTTGCCTCGGGAAGATGCCACTTCCAAAACGAAGCTTGGTGGCGAATGCGTGCCGGGTATTTATCGTACTAAGATTGAGATATCGTAACCTGGATAATAGAGTGTTAGTACAGGTCTGTCTTTAAGCATCCCCGTTGCATGTCATTATGCTGTATACCACAAGACAAGTTTCTCAGATTAAATTTTGTCATTTTGTTATTGTATTGTGTTACACCAGGTGGTAGAGAAAATTGCGCCTATCCAATCAACTGTGTACGGGGAGGTAGGTGATGTTTTCAGTTGTTTGTGAATTGTGTTTAGTTATAACGATTATAACAATTAGAATATGATTGTCCCCTTATATAACGCCTGATAAGCGTGCTCAAATACATTGCTTTAACCCTTTCAATGGAATGGTTTGTATTCTGATTGCATTCCCCTGCTCCCCAGGCAGTATATGATATGAGTGAGTGAGTATGGTTAAAGTCACTTTTAGCAATAGTCCAGCAATATCACGGCGGGGTCACCAGAAATGGGCTTCACACATTGTACCCATGTCGGGAATCGAAGCCGGGACTTCGGCGTGACGAGCAAACGCTTTAACCACTAGACTACCCCACCGCACCTATATGATATCAGACTTCATGTATTGATCAACTTCCAAAGACCTGCCTCAGAATAACTCCCTGGTATATCATGCTGGCGGTGAGAGCTTGGTGGTTGGCAGTGTGACCTGGCTGATTGCGTGTGATCGTTCCTCTGTAACGTAGGTTGTTACTGACGTGTCAGTCATGGTTTGTCTGATCCAGACTTATTATGCATATTATTTACAGGCCGTCGTGATGTACATGTAACTGAAATATAGCTCGCAGCGATGTGACAGCATTAATTACTTACTCACTCAAAAAGACTTTCTGTAACATGATCAAAAAACATATTGATTCTCATAAATCATATGGTTATTATTATCATTTGTTCGTCTGCATTATGTTTTGAATATTTTAACTTCACATTTGCCTTTTTCCAAAGTTATTTGAAGTGAAGGACACACCACAGCCTATCAATTTCGCCTACTCAACCGTGAGACTGGAGTTACACATGGACCAGCCAATGTACGAGTCTCCCCCAGGGCTGCAGTTCCTGCACTGCCTAAGGTGACCACACCTCATTCATTATAACGTTATTGCCATTTATTTAACATTTATAAGACTTACTGACTGACTCGCACATTTAAGGTTAGGTTGAATCTTACATATGTACATTGTTATAACTTTTTTCAGATTTGACAAAGAAGTGAAGGGAGGGGGTAACTTCTTCGTGGACGTGTTCCATGTGGCTCACATTCTTAGAGAGCAGTACCCAAAAGAGTTCCAGGACCTTGTACGGATACCTGTCAACTGGGAAACGGTCCACTATGACAGGTCAATGTTTATCCATGTGAAAAGTGTAAGGGAAGGGTCAGGTTATATGTGTTACTCCAACAGCTCTTCAAGCCATGCAAAAGTTTTACAACATCCAGCATGTCCTTTGAAAGCATTGTGTTAAAAGCACTAGGGGAACAGATCATATCAAACCCAGAATATCAGATGGTTATCCCCTGGTAAATAACATAGATGCGCACTCCCTCTTTCTATGTGGTTATATGATTGTGCGTGCAGGGCAACTCTCTGACCTCCTTGTAGCATGATACTGCTTGGATGTCAATACAATGTCAATACAGTATTTAGGATATTAACATATATGAGCATATTTTGGTCTCATGTCTACTTCACACATACACAAACGCACAAAAACATACTATATATATATTGGATACATGCATAGTAAAAGATGCTTAAGAAAATGTGAATGCATTAATCATGAGGTTAATTTAGGCATGGAAATTTCAGAAAATTACGGAAAGCCAGGTATGATCTGTGATTCTGTTTGGATTCCATGTCTTCGAGAGATAAGACGCCATTTCACTGTGTGTACATACTAGATTTGTGGTTTCAGGGACGTCCCTGTTCACATGTCTTACCAAAGACCGCACATAACCCTCAACAGTGACGGAGAGGTAATACAAACATACATATACGTGTTGGGGGCAAATGTATGCACGTGGGAAGTATTGTTGACGGGTTAGTTATATACCAACTGTAGCTTGTATATCGAATATGTTGTTGACAAGTTAGTTATATACCAACTGTGGCTTGTATATGGAATGTGTTGTTGACAAGTTTTAGTTATAAACCAACTGTGGCGTGTGTATCGGTTGTGTTGTTGACAAGTTAGTTATATACCAACTGTGGCTTGTATATGGAATGTGTTGTTGATAAGTTTTAGTTATAAACCAACTGTGGCGTGTGTATCGGTTGTGTTGTTGACAAGTTAGTTATATACCAACTGTGGCTTGTGTATTGGTTGTGCTGTTGACAAGTAAGTTATACACCAACTGTGGCTTTATATCGGTTGTGTTGTTGACAAGTTAGTTATACACCAACTGTGGCTTTTATATCGGGTGTGTTGTTGACAAGTTAGTTATATACAAACTGTTGTTCTCTTCCAAAACCTCGTCAAGCCAGATATAAACAACAAACACACAATGTGGCTTCCCCTGTGGCACACGCCGAGGCATTTACTCTGCAATGAAATTTCCTTTTACAAACACCAGTAGCGTCACTGGCCTTGATCCATATGATCTCAGAACCCACGCCACGACACTGTAACATCTTACTGTAAGATAGATGCATGTACCAGGTACCATCCATGCTTTGTGGTTCAGAACCATACTCGTCACTGTGACGACATTTGTCTTGCAGCAAGACTGCCAACACCTGACAACGGAAAATGTTCATGACCATAACGCACAGGACAACCATAAAATAAACAGACCGCACTGTAACGGCGACACCACAGGAGAGATTGAACTACCCGGGCTTTACAATTCCTATATATACCCCACACGGTTGCGCCCTCTACCGTGAATAACCTCCCTTTATATCTGGCTTTACCTTCAAGAGAAATCAATTTCAGTCTAATTCACTCTGTTCAACCGAATGAAATTTCATCTTGTGTAACAGTTGTGTTGTTGACAGGTAAGTTATATACAAACTGTGGCTTGTGTATTGGTTGTGTTGTTGACAGATTAGTTATATACCAACTGTTGCTTATGTATCGGTTGTGTTGTAGAGGGGTTAGTTATATACTAACTGTGGGTTGTGCATTGGTTCTATGGCTGACAGGTCAGTTAGATACCAACTGCGGCTTGTATATTGACTTTTTATTTCAGATTGTTGGCGTATCATGGCATCCAGGTCTTGTTGGACCTCTGCTAACAAAAGAGGTACTTAATATAAACAAGAACACCCTTTGAACAAACTATCAGTACATTGGTTGACCGCTGTGGTCGAGAACAGCATTTGTCATCATAATTGAAAAGAACTTAAAGTAACTCATTTAATCAGACATTTACGTGTACTCGCCGAAAGGGAATCCCATCAGTACGCCAAATGTATGACACATTTATGCAAGGATATCTCAAGTGTTTAAGTAAATGCATTGTAGCTGGCATTGGAAAACACTGCTTCCAGATGAGAATGGTATGCTGGCTCGTTCTGCGAACACCTGGTGTCGTCAACGTTATGTTTACAGATGTTCTTGATTGAAGGTTCTTGAACGTGGGCTTTTGGTTAGTTCCTTCGTTTGTTATTTTGTGTTCTTGTGAGAAGGCTACGAATATGAAACCTCCGAAAGAAAGTACTCAACATAATGATAGTAACCTAAAAGAGTGAAATCAAAACGATGAGTAATCTCGGGCTGTTTTTTTACTTCCCCTGTTTCTGTTGTTTTAGGAGGACGTGGAACCATACTACAGAGCTTACAAAGTCATGGCCACCATGGTAAACACCTTCCCATTGCAGGTAAACATAGTTCAAAATCACATGTTGACTGCTCAATTACTAGTTTGTTTGTTAAAACGATTTTAAGCATATAAGTCAAGGTTTTTACTATATAAATAAGACTCAAATAAGTTTTATTTTCGGAATATGTTTATTGCATGCAGGCCTTTCACCATTGTATTTATTGTTAATTCGTCCCTCAGTACCGACTCCGTATGCAGGAAGGGGACATGATCTCATTTAACAACAGACGTGTCCTCCACGGGCGGGAGAGTTTCAACCCAACTGAAGGCATCAGACATTATCAGGTACTTGTAGGCGCCTTAACAATATAGTAAGGATTGGATTTACCGCTTGATCATTACTTCACTTTGTTCATCAGAATTTAGATATACCAAAGGTCTTGAGGTTGTAAAGTTAGCTCCATGGATAAACCGTTTCCGTTGACGGGTTTCATATGAAAGGTATTTACAAATATTTTGTGTGACCCGACTTATATATACAGATTTTTATTCCCTTGGTCGTGGAAGGATCAGCTGATTGTCATCGTTTGACTAAGGAAGTACTCAGAGCGGCGTTTTGTGTCGCACGAGAACGCGGCAAAAAGGGTTTAGCGCCGCTTTGAACTGTTTCTGGATTAAATTAACACGCGTCAGCGGTGAAAACACCGGAAGCTTGGTTCGAATGGCACGTTCGCCCTGATTGTGTTTCTTGGTTTATAAGGAATATGTCTGTGCTCGTTCTTTCACCATAGCGGTAGAACCTACGACCCGGGTCACTGTTAGTCTGTGTAAAAGTCCCTGAATCATATTATCTTCCCTTTATCCCTGCCCTCTCTGTAATGCAAACGCCCTAAAATGAAGTAGGTTTAGATTTTCCTTTGTTGACGCATGATATATATGCGGTGTTTCTTACCAATAATCAATTGTTTGTTACAGGGATGTAATCTTCAGATTGACGAGTTCAAGAGTCAGGTACAGGTGTTTTCTAACAAGATTGGTGATGGCAAATTGGCAACGAGAGCGGGAAACTTGGACTTGCAATAGCACATGTCAAGTTACAAAACCCTGTAGAAGGTGCTTGAAACGTGATGACCCACGCATGACTGTGTAGCCAGGGTTGTGTTACATATAGTGATCATACATAATCCGTCGCACACATCTGGCATATATATTAATTCAATTTCCAGTACATTTACGGTACACCAATCCAATAAAGGAAAAGCATTATTGACTTTAAATACAAATATGTGCCAGATATGGGAGCCAAAGTGTGTTTATCAAGTAACATGTTCTACCATTGATACACCAGCATAATAATGAAATCCTGATGGAATAAAGCTAAAAGATCTCGTCGTTGTTTTGTCATCAATAATCACTTCCTCGTGTTAACAATCTCAAACATTAGTTGACGAATGTGCGCTGTACAATGTCAGCAGCAGCAACCATTATGATTGATGCTAACGTTAAACATTCTAGCGACAAAAAGAACTTGTGCACATAGGAAATCCAAATATATATTGGCACTACATACGTACACAAATACAGATGTAAACACGGTAATTAGTGAATTGAACTGAACACCTCCCTGTGTGCTACGTTTCATGACGTCTGTGGTTTCGGCATGGACAAGTTAAACACATTTGTGCAAGTGCATCTCGATAAAGTGTATGAAGCACATGCATGTCAAAACCGTGGTCGATTTGGGATGCCTTGTGACGTTTGATCGTTCAAAAAGTTAAACGGCTGATGAACTGGACATCATGCCACGACTCGTACTGTTGAGACGTTATCAGAACAATAATGAAGTTGCCGATCGCCTACGTGCAGGGCGGACGTCAATGTGTCTACACACGTCTTAGCGAGCGTGATGCTCAAGCCCGAGTCCTTGAGAGGAATCGCTTTGGGGGTGGTTCCGAGATGATTTGGGGTTGGATAAGTACACGTCAGAGAACCCCTTTATTTGTTGTTCAGGGCAATATGACAGGTGTAGGCTACAGAGTGCAGATTCACGGACCAGTGGCAATGACGTTTCTTCAACGTCATGGCCCAGGATTGACATTCCAACAGAATAATGCCCGTCCTCACACGGCTAGGGTTGCTATGGCTTTTCTTCAAATGAACAATGTTCAAGTACTGTCTTGGCCTGCAAATTCACCATATCTCTCCCCTATAGAGCATGTGTGGGATGTTATGGAGCGACGTCTACGCCGTGTACTGTATCCTCCAGATAACGTTCAGAAAATATGACGAGCCATATTCGGCGGCGATTCAGTTATCACTGCTCATGGTGGGCATACCCGTTACTGAGTTTGTGACATTTTGGACATTAACCATGCTGTTCTGACGTCTCCTGATGTCAATATCAAGCGATTGATGTTTACATGAAAACTTTTCATTGTTATATTTTTAAATTTAGAATAATTTTAACAATGCACAGTTTCTTTTTGTTGCTAGTATTGTTTCAAAATGGTCTGTCACCGGAAGTATGCTTTTAATGTTATGGTAGGGAAACGGAGCGAAACTGGATAGTCTCGTCACACGGATATCATTTGTAAACTGTCGACAAGAGATAGTATGTTGATGCGGGGTATCATTTGGATAGTCTGCTGACATGGATTATCATTTGGGGTTGTCTGTTGACATGGATCATCATTTCGATAGTCTGTTGACAAGGACCATCATTTGGATAGTCTGTTGACATGGATCATCATTTGGATAGTCTGTTGACACCGAGTCTCTTTTGTTTATAATGTATTGACGCGCAGAAGCATTTGAATAGAATGTTGAAACGGGGTAATACTGCTGTGTGTTTACACGGGGTAATACTGCTGTGTGTTTACAGGGGGTAATACTGCTGTGTGTTTACACGGGGTATCATAGATGGGGGGTTGGGGTAGGGAGCAGCATTCATTTTTGTAGCTCAGTGGGTTGGGGATGGCTTGAGGGGTGTGAGAGCATGTGCGTGAGTGTGTGTCCGGAGACAGGGGCGGTCTCTGGGCCCTGTTCCACAAAGCGATGTTAGCGCAACAACTAGCATAAGTCAATGGTAAAGTATGGGAGGTCATCTTAGTACAAATCTTTGTGGATCAGGGCTCAGGTTTACTGATCATCCCTTATTACCAGCCAGAGTGGTCAATGTGAAGTAGGTCACAGGTAGCATGACACTGGTGATGACTTGAGCAAATGTCAATGGATTATGATTAGGTGGTAAGTTAAACCACATGAGGCACGTTTGACCCACCGGCTAAAGATATCCTTGATAGCAAGGTCAGGGGTTACACAACAATGACAACTATGTCGATTGTGTTCCTTGTTCCTTGTACAGGGAGTATCCGAATTTCAGAACTGCAACATCCCCATGTCCACGGATGATGCCCAAAATGATACCCTTGTCAACAGACTATCCAGATGATATCCCGTGTCAACAGACTATCCAGATGATATCCCGTGTCAACAGACCATCCAGATGATCTCCCGTGTCAACAGACAATCCAGATGATATCCCGTGTCAACAGACAATCCAGATGATATCCGGGGTCAACAGACCATCCAGATGATCTCCCGTGTCAACAGACAATCCAGATGATATCCGGGGTCAACAAACAATCCAGATGATATCCGGGGTCAACAGACAATCCAGATGATATCCTGTGTCAACAGACAATCCAGATGATGATATCCCATGTCAACAGACCATCAAGACCCCCCCCCCCCCCCCCCCCCCCCCCCTCCAACACACACACACAGCTTTATCAGTCCATTAATCTTGGATGCAACATTAAACCCCTTTTCCCTTGACAGGGTCCAGATTTTGTCAAATTTCAGTCATATTTGTCCCATCATTGAGGAAGCATGATGTGATAAGCAAGCTGTCAACAGGTAATAATAGTTTTATTTCACAAGAAATCATCACATACAATTTGTGACTGTCTTGAGTAATGCTCAACATTTATTTTTATTATGACATGAAGAACCATCAGCTTTAGACACCTAAAGCTATATATTTTAAAAGTTGTATATATCGTTACACAAAATGGCCATTCATATTTGCAAAAAACAAAACAAATGAAAATGTCTGGTGGCAAGAGATTGTTCTCCTAGTGATGTATGATATAATCACCTTCCCGAGGCAAAGGACCAGTTTCCACCCTTGCCGAACAAGACTGAAATTTATGTTTTGGCTGGACTAAAGAATCCATGCCTAGTCGAATCAAAATCTCATAATGTTATTGACATCCGGTCCGTGAACTGCTGTGCAGAGTTAGGTCAATTGCAGGATTGGCCAAGCATTTGTATCGTCAACTTAACGTCTACAGATATTTTCCAAACAGCCTCATGTTTAATATCAAGGTACTCAAGTAATTTGATGCATTTCGCGAAAACCCGTTTTATAACAATACATAAGATAGCTATGCGAGAAATCACAAAGAATAATGAAGAACGTTTATTTCACGATAAAACATTGTTCTATCTTGACGTTATTTCTGGAGATGCCAACACGCGCTTGCAACTTGATGACGTATATTGCACAACGTTATTCTTGAGAGAGGGGTGTCTAGTGAGTTCTCCAAAGATGTAGCTGGGCAGGGGTATGTGAATCGGTATTGGGAGAAAAGGTATAGGTAATCGAAGCGAGGATTGTGAGAATATGTGGGAAATACCCACCTGTGCAAAAAATGGACTTGTCCGACAGTGCCGAGGTCATATTCTATTGAGGGAGTCATCATTATTAAGATACGGATACATATATGTGAAGCTTGTACATTTCATCATCCTTAAAGTGGCTGCACATAATGTTGATATCATATACAATAAACAAAAACTTATGGTCATTGTTTAACGTACAATAAACCATTGCAAGAAGAACATACCACTGGGGGATGCACCCCTCATGGTTTATTCTCCCTGCGGTGTTTTATTGTACGATAAACAACTCTGACTTTATTTTCAACCAGATGGCCTTGACAGTTGCCATTTTGTTTAAAGCAAATACTAGTAATATGATAGGTGAAATCTGAGAAGGAACATAATTAGTAATTGCCACTGGTGGCGCTACAATCAAGCCACGGAATTCCAGCCTTGTCTGGCAATGGTGGAAACTGGACTTTTAAAGTCAGTTAACTCCCTTGCCTTGGGAATATGGATATTATCAAGGGAATGTCAGGGAAATAAGTAAATATGCACAGTTTTTTATCAACTGGCAAACCAATATCACACAATCATATTAATGTGAAAACATTTTCTTAAAGATAAACAGTTTATCCATATGTGCTTAAAATATTAAAATAGATAAATACTATTGATTATAAAACTGTTAACAGAGCAATATTACTTGAATATTAAACAGGTATAAAACCATAATCACTCAACCATTTGATTTTAAGAATTCTTTACTCAGAAAATTTGAATATTTTGAATAGACAACCTGAAATCCGTAAAAAAAAAATGTTTAAATATCGTCAAACCTGATATCACCTTTCCACTACATGACCACTGATATGTCCTCGAAATATTAACATAATGAATATGTAAATATAACATCAAATATTTGCCATGTTCATACAAGAAACAAGTGAAGTACATTGTGACTAGTTACTCAGCTGGTGCTAATACTTGACAAGCAACCCTGTGTCCTTTTTATACAGTGGACTCCTCAATCCAGACACATGGTGGCTCAGATGATTACAACTAGATTTGTTTGTTTACAGCCACGCAGCTGTCTCACCTGTATGGCAGTGGCCTCTAAATAATACAAATCTGGACCAGACAAACCAGAGAGTGATAATATGAGCAGCTATCTACATCACCAAGCTTTACCACCAGATCCATTAGGTCAACTCTTATTACCAGCATAGGTAACTTGGGACATATAATTCAATCCTGGAACCCCCTTGGAGGTGAATACTTTTACCAAACCTTACATAACTGTGTACAAAGTGAGTACATTGAGATGAAAAACATCCCAGTCATAGAGCATCATGGCTGCCAAGGACCTGGCTCAAGCAGATATCTCACTCACCAAACTTCTAACCTCAAACTACCCATACTTTGCTACTCTGGAAATTTCTTAATCCGGACAATTTTAATTAGAGTGCCACCATCCATATTAATGGGGTTTCACTGCATGTAATATATTGCTAGTGATTTAATGAAATGTTTCATCAGTAAATAATGAATAGCAATTATTCAGCCACGTTGAGGTGTCCTGTAAATAATCACAGATCCATATGTCATCACAGATCCGGAGCACCTACTCCCCCATTTTAGTTGTTTTGTCTTATTCAAAATCCCCATATACAAATATTTCAAATTTACTGATGAACAGAATGTAGCTTCTTCAGGTTATTTTGGAAACTACCTGTCATGCTTTCTCCCACATTCAGGTATTATGACTGAAGTACTGTTCAAAGCTGCCTAAAGCCCAGTTCACTCACTATGTCCTTACATCAGCATACTTTTCAAGCATCTATATTTATCCATCAAGACAAATTATACAATATTGAAATAGCAATGCAAAGTGAGTGAGTATAGTTTTACGCTGCTTTTAGCCATATTCCAGCAATATCACAGAGGGGGACACCAGAAATGGGCTTCACACATTGTACCCATGTGGGGAATCGAGCCCGGGTTTTCGGCGTGACGAGCGAACGCTTCAACCACTAGGCTACCCCACCGCCCCTAACAATACAAAGACCAGCATAATTGAATATGGGTTATATGTGTGTGGCATGCGTAAGTGTGTTTATGGTCAGATGCAAGGATCCTTGAAGATTCCAGGTTAGAATTCGAAGCCACTGGATTGTCTGGTCCTGACTTATTTACAAACCCCCATCACTGCTGGAATATTGCTGAGTGCAGCATTAAACAACAAACAAACAGATGCAAGGATAACTAAATACTCTGATGATTCAAATTGTTTGTTTGTATATACCGACATAAACTGTTTAAACATACATTCAATGTGTATAAATGTCATGCATCAAACTAGCATCAGGATATTACACTCCATTTCACCTCAGACTAACGGAGAAAATAGGGAGTATGGAACAAGACAATAGATGCACAAATTAGAAGCAAACACAAGCAGGACCTCTCAAAGGAAACAGATCAGAGAAAACTGTTTACTAGCAGTAAACAGTATAAAAGCCTAATCGAACCTGAAAAGTACCTCACCCTTTTAATTGATAGAAAGCAATGTAATATTTTGATAAGACTGAGAACGGGGTTGTTAAGGTTGAAAGTTAACAAAGGGAGATGGTCGTGGAGTGACTTAAGTTATGTATATGTCCTTTGAAATCTATGGATTGAAGATGAATATCATTTTACCTTCTTATGTAATTCCTGTAAGAGTATAAAACACCTTTATCTGCTTAAAATGTATTGCCATAATCCGATATATGTATAAATTAAGACGTCTTCTGACTTCGAAATATGAAATGTTACTGAGAAACTTACATAAATATCTATGTCAAAGCCAAGAAATAGGACAGTGTTTTGCAAATACTGGAATACTATGATGTAAGTTACGTATCAATTGGTGTACCACTGCTGTACCTATTAATGCACTTTCTCTGCATAATGGCTAGTGGGCTTAATACAAATATAAGACTTGACTTGTAGTTGAATGTTGATCAGGCCACAATAAATTAATTATCACATTTCACTAATTAGACATTTCATTTTTATATTGAACCAACTGCTTAAGGCACATTAACTGAGAATGGATGTGACCTGCACAAGGCATGAATGTTTGCTAGGGCTACATCTACGGTATATTTCAAACAGTGAGGAAAGAAAGAAAGAAGGGGCCACACATAGCAACTTTCATTATCTGTAGGTACTTGGGGGAAAAGAATATTATGGGAAGTGGGTAATTTGTAGTGTATTTTTCTGTTTAGCACTGCACACAGCAATATTCCAGCTGTATGACAGTGGCCTGTATATAATCAAATCTGGACCAGACAATCCAGTGATTGACATCAGCATCGATCTACGCAATTGGGATATGATGACATGCATCAACCAAGTCAGTGAGCCTGTCCACCCGATACCATGAGACACCGCATACGAAAAGCTAAGTCGACTTTTACAGCTTGAAGACCTAGTCCAACCCAGATCTTCATGGGTCGGAATTTGTAGTGAGTTGGGCAGGGAGGTCAATCTAATAATTGATTTATTATGGCCTTAGTGGACTAGGAACATCGACAGAAAGTGACTGTATGATTAAGGATGTTATAAAGAGAGAAGAATATTGTGCTGCCATTCACACCCACAGAACAAGTATCTATTTAATAAAAGGTAATGCAAATGAAAAAGAAAGCATGAGTACAAAACAGATTATTGGAGGGACTATTCGTTTGAACTCTGACACTGGCTTTTCTACAGTAGTTTTTTCAATACACAAAGTATATAGTGTTGCTTTTACATATAAACATGTTGGAATATTGCCTCAACATTAACCACAATGACAAGCATGATTGCAGTCTAGCTTAGATTGACTATCATCAATCTATGTGACTATATTCCTCCATTTACAAAAAAAACATACTCACTTTACCATATTCATATATCAGATAATTTTGTGTCTACATAACTATCACTGATTCAAGAGGCCACCTGCAGTTATAAACACATGGCAGAATGACATTCATATAAATAAATAAATGACTGACATTTATTTTTATTTTGACCGACCTTGTGTGGAAAAGATTGAATAAATTCTTGAAAATATAATTTTAAAAAGTGTGGCCCAACAAAGATGTATAGGCAGAGTACATTTTATGATAAACTTTCAGTTTAATAATGACTCACAACATCGACATCTAGATTTTCAAAAAAAAAAGATACCCTGTAGGCACAAAGGAACTATGTTGGACATGTTATCAATACATATATTGGCCACTGGTACAAGCAATGTGTAAATAATACTGCCTGTAAGTAATGCTCTGAGGACCATATTAACGTTCACATATTTCTACCATCTACTTTGTAAAATGTTAGTAGAGGTGATAGACTAGTCAGTAATATAAAGATAGCATTTGATACCTTTCATTGTTGTCCATAAAGATGCCTGAAATAACAACACATTCATAGGTCAACACCTTACATGATGAAATAGAAATAGAAAAAATAAAACAACACAAATAATAGAACTTTAATAACAAAACTGGGATATTATTTTCAGACTATTCTTCCAAACTATGGTTAGTAGCGGCCTTTACTTTCATATTCAGTTCATGTTAGTGTTCAATCATCAAAGCTAAGCACCCTCTGAAACATGGTTGTGATCCGTTCACCGAGTGTCAGATTCTCATCCCCATCCAACAGACAGTAGGCTGTGAAGCACACTGATGCCACGCCCACTGCTGCCATTCCAATACAGAGCTTTCCTATCACCTGAAATGAACAATGTCATCTGAAATTAATTTTGCTTCTATTTATGGCACTATGTAATTGTACTGCTTGTACTGTCAGTTTGATAGAGATCTTAAAAGTAATTTGGCTTTGACATTATAGCTCTGTCAAGGCTGGACAAATGTCGTACTAGCAACAAATGATATTTTCTTTAACAAAGCAGACAATACTTTTTTTAACTTTGACAAGAGGCAGGAGGTCAAATTAAATAAATGTTGTAAAGGTTGATTTGAGGTGCAAGCCACAAAAAATGGAACAAAATAGAATAAGAATACAGAGAAAAGGATATTCACAATAAACACATTTTTTCTAGCAAACCCAGCATTGTTTTTAGTTTTTTTTTGTTTTTTATAATGTTTACAAATTTTGGAATAAACTGGCAAGAATGTCTGGCAAGAATGGTGAAGTCATGGTGCCTCATGGAAAGAAAATTAATTTTTTGTCATGAAGCAGACAAAAAATACTTTCAGTTTGGACGACATAGTGACATGAGCATCTGAGAACCAGATCTCATTTACCCTGATGTCAAGATTACTGCAGTCCAACATATTCATCTACTGTGTGATTGCCCAGTTTGTTTGGTATGAGAAGAGCATAACTGAAACAAGTGACTTTGAATTTAGCAAAGATAGCTGCAATAGTGCTGATGCATCATTTATCAGTATTCACCCACGCTTTGCTGGAAACTTACTTGATCTTGCCACTTGCGTCTGTTGATACATTCGTGATACCTTGTCCGTGTGAAGGACACCTGAAAATGGCATTACTGGCATATATACTCTACTGTATTCTCACATCATCAACCATTTTACAATACTGACACTCAAAGATGACAGGCTGTATCTGAGGACATTTGACTTGATGAACTGCACTCTCTAAAGTCATCTGAAATATCTAACGTCAGCTAGGACCATGTATAGTGTATTCATATATGTATATAAGTTACATGCTTCAATTGTTCCTTTAGAAGTAGCATTTAATAATGAATGCTATTTCTAGTTTAAGATATCTGTTGATTATGAAGAGTATATCATAAAGACCCCAAAGTATTCATCCAACAAGTGAGGGGAAATGGGGTTTAATGTCGCATTCAAGATGATTGCACTTATATAGCGACGTGCATGCATGTGTGTGTGTTTATAGTGCTAGCACTCTAAGATACCATGCCACAGAAGACATGAGCGTAACAACAACTACTATCTTTTAACATCTTTTGGTATGATGTGGCCGGGGATCCGAACCGCCGACCTTCCGCTCTCCGGGCACACAGGCGCTCTACCACTAGACCACTAGACCACAGAGGTGGCCTATTCATCCATCAGAGCTCCTGGAGGTTCTACTACACCAAATCAGTACCAGTTTGGAGAGTGCGGTTTTCGTAGGGAGCCTTCAGTGCAGATCGAGAGATATCTGCAGGCTGTGATTGGAGGATATTCTGTAAGATTTTTATGTCTTTCAAATGTACATCCATCCAGTTATTAAAACTGACCATGTTTTTCTATATTTAGTACTGTCTTTTTCAACATGATGACTTATGCTGAATGTGACCACAGCTATTTTCAAGTAGGTGACATTTGGTGCGAAACTGGGGGTGGTGTGTTTAGCTTCCGGTACTCGGAAAAGGAGCTGGCTAAGCTAGTCATTTTTATTTTTTTTATTGCTGCTCTAAGGCCAAACTGTGCACACACATACAGGTAATAGCTGTTGAATGCTTAGTTATTTAAAAAAAAATCATAACGTTACTATAGAAGTCTATGGGAAAACATTTGGTTGTGTGTAACCTGGAGCTCTATAAGAATAACCAAATTGTGAAAATGTTTCCATGAATCTGGGCAAGTGTATATTTGCTTTTCACAAGAATAATTTCTTATTCTGACATCAACAGTGATTCAAAATGACCAGTCTTATGCAGACCAAATTAGTACTTATCTATTATCAAACCCAACAAATTGACACATTTTCTAAAACCTTGGTATCAAGTGAATGACCATAGGATGTTTGCTTCAAGTGATATCAAGCAAAATTTAAAAAACAATGCAAATCTGTAAATAATTGAGTCTGTTTCAGTGTGTAAAGGCAATGATCCACACAAACAATGTCAGACAATGTAACCAAGCCACGAATCAGTCAGCTCCCCAGAGAAGCATGGAGTACTCACAGTGGATCGACCTGTCCTGGATCCCTCCAGGTTCCCAACAAGGGAATTTGTACAGTAATGATAAGTACAGTAAACTATGGTTATAACCAACTCAAAGGGATCACTAATTTTAGTTCATTATAACAATAGTTCGTAAAAACATATATGTAGCATATACTGTAAATCTTGAAATTAATGTGTCTCCAAATTAATACGACTGCTGACCCGTAACCAAAAATGTGATTCCCCCCACCCCATTCCCAGTGGAACGTTGGTTGGTTGGTTGGTTGGTTGGTTGGTTGGTTGGTTTGTTGTTTAACGCCTTACTCAGCAATATTACAGCTATATGACGGTGGTCTGTAAATAATCGAGTCTGGACCAGACAATCCAGTGATTAATATCATGAACATCGATCCACGCAATTGGGATCGATGACATGTTTCAACCAAGTCAGCGAGCCTGACCACCCGATCCCGTTAATCGCCTTTTGCGACAAGCATAGTCGCCTTTTACGTCAAGTATGGGTTGCTGAAGACCTATTCTACCCCGGAATCTTCACGGGTCCCCAGTGGAACGATGCATATCCTTACCATAATCCAATCAAACAGCTAATAGCACCGCTTATCAGCACTGAGTTGAGCACTTCCGTAATAACAATAAACAGTGTATTCCTAAAAAACAACACACAGTTTATATGTTTATTCTGTTGACTAGCATTAAGTTGAACCAACAACAGTTCACTGATTGGAGTGGTCAATGATTACCCGGTACTAGTTTGATACGAGTGGGTAGAACTCCAGCAGTGATAGCTCACCGGATGCCTATTGTGTAATTCCTATTCTTCAAATGACATTGTTATGGACTTGTGACAACTGTGAAGCTTCCTTGATGTGAACAAAGACCACTCGCATTTTTCGCATTTAATTCACGCTAGCATTGATTTAAAGATTTACAGTATACAGCAAATGGTTGGGACCAAAAAAACAATTTCTCACATGCGCCAGTTCGTTATATCCGCTAGTTCATTCTAAGCTGTTCATTATAAACATAGTTTACTGTACACTGTGCACATTCTGTTGACACCCAACACCTGACAATATACATCGTTGACAGGGCACATGGTGCCAGACAGCAGTGCAGTTAATGCCTCATTACCATGAGACCATTACACATACATTCACCATTTCCCATTCAACAGAGACAATTCAGTTATAACAAGGTCAGTGGAGATATCAGAATGTCAACAAGTGTTTGTAACATGGCTTCTCCCAAAAGACTTGTAACTTGGTAAATAGTCTATTTTCAGCTATGTTAAATTTTGTTATAGTGCAGAAGTCCCATTGGGGCCAACCATGTTTATACTTTAGTAAGCCCTTCAGGACACACTTCCAGGGGCGCCAAACAGCTTTTGGAGTTCTACAAGATTTTTTTTCATTTATATTCAGTAGTTTACTGTGTGATTTGAGTGTTAAGTAAAATGGGTACAATAGGTAACATATCTAGGCACTCACTACACATGGTAGTTTACAGGATGATCTTGGTGTAGGATAAAGTGGGTACAACATGTTTATGTATCTAGGATCTCACTATGCATGGTAGTTTACAGGATGATCTTGGTGTAGGGTAAAGTGGGTACAATTGGTAACATATCTAGGCTCTTACTATGCATGGTAGTTTACAGGATGATCTTGGTGTAGGGTAAAGTGGGTACAATTGGTAACATATCTAGGCTCTCACTATGCATGGTAGTTTACAGGATGATCTTGGTGTAGGGTAAAGTGGGTACAATTGGTAACATATCTAGGCTCTCACTATGCATGGTAGTTTACAGGATGATCTTGGTGTAGGGTAAAGTGGGTACAATTGGTAACATATCTAGGATCTCACTATGCATGGTAGTTTACAGGATGATCTTGGTGTAGGGTAAAGTGGGTACAATTGGTAACATATCTAGGCTCTCACTATGCATGGTAGTTTACAGGATGATCTTGGTGTAGGGTAAAGTGGGTACAATTGGTAACATATCTAGGCTCTCACTACACATGGTAGTTTACAGGATGATCTTGGTGTAGGATAAAGTGGGTACAACATGTTTATGTATCTAGGATCTCACTATGCATGGTAGTTTACAGGATGATCTTGGTGTAGGGTAAAGTGGGTACAATTGGTAACATATCTAGGCTCTCACTATGCATGGTAGTTTACAGGATGATCTTGGTGTAGGGTAAAGTGGGTACAACATGTTTATGTATCTAGGCTCTCACTACACATGGTAGTTTACAGGATTATCTTGGTGTAGGGTAAAGTGGGTACAACATGTTTATGTATCTAGGCTCTCACTATGCATGGTAGTTTACAGGATGATCTTAGTGTAGGGTAAAGTGGGTACAATAGGTAACATATCTAGGCTCTCACTATGCATGGTAGTTTACAGGATGATCTTAGTGTAGGGTAAAGTGGGTACAATTGGAAACATATCTAGGCTCTCACTATGCATGGTAGTTTACAGGATGATCTTAGTGTAGGATAAAGTGGGTACAATTGGAAACATATCTAGGCTCTCACTATACATGGTAGTTTACAGGATGATCTTAGTGTAGGATAAAGTGGGTACAATTGGTAACATATCTAGGCTCTCACTACACGTGGTAGTTTACAGGATGATCTTAGTGTAGGGTAAAGTGGGTACAATTGGTAACATATCTAGGCTCTCACTATGCATGGTAGTTTACAGGATGATCTTAGTGTAGGATAAAGTGGGTACAATTGGAAACATATCTAGGCTCTCACTATACATGGTTACTTAGTTTACAGGATGATCTTAGTGTAGGGTAAAGTGGGTACAATTAGAAACATATCTAGGCTCTCACTATGCATGGTAGTTTACAGGATGATCTTAGTGTAGGGTTAAGTGGGTACAATTGGAAACATATCTAGGCTCTCACTATACATGGTTACTTAGTTTACAGGATGATCTTAGTGTAGGATAAAGTGGGTACAATTGGTAACATATCTAGGCTCTCACTATGCATGGTAGTTTACAGGATGATCTTAGTGTAGGGTAAAGTGGGTACAATTGGTAACATATCTAGGCTCTCACTACACATGGTAGTTTACAGGATGATCTTGGTGTAGGGTAAAGTGGGTACAATTGGTAACATATCTAGGCTCTCACTATGCATGGTAGTTTACAGGATGATCTTAGTGTAGGGTAAAGTGGGTACAATTGGTAACATATCTAGGCTCTCACTATGCATGGTAGTTTACAGGATGATCTTGGTGTAGGGTAAAGTGGGTACAATTGGTAACATATCTAGGCTCTCACTATGCATGGTAGTTTACAGGATGATCTTAGTGTAGGATAAAGTGGGTACAATTGGTAACATATCTAGGCTCTCACTACACGTGGTAGTTTACAGGATGATCTTAGTGTAGGGTAAAGTGGGTACAATTGGTAACATATCTAGGCTCTCACTACACATGGTAGTTTACAGGATGATCTTGGTGTAGGGTAAAGTGGGTACAATTGGTAACATATCTAGGCTCTCACTATGCATGGTAGTTTACAGGATGATCTTAGTGTAGGATAAAGTGGGTACAATTGGTAACATATCTAGGCTCTCACTACACGTGGTAGTTTACAGGATGATCTTGGTGTAGGGTAAAGTGGGTACAATTGGTAACATATCTAGGCTCTCACTATGCATGGTAGTTTACAGGATGATCTTGGTGTCGGGTAAAGCGGGTACAACATGTTTATGTATATAGGCTCTCATTATGCTTAGTTTATATGTTGTGAAACGCGGCACTCAGCAATATTTCAGCTAATTGATGGGGTGTCTGCAAATTGTCTGGACCAGCCACTCAAGTGATCGACATCATGAGCATCGATCTACCGTTGCTGTAGTTTAGTAGGTATTTACATGAATAGTAGTCAGTAGCCATGAGAGTGTCTATCATAAATATAACATATGATCTCACCATGGTAACCAGAGTATGTAGAGAGTGTGAGTATGACACATATGGTCTTACCATGGTATACAGGGGGATCCAGGCTTTGGGGAAGAGTGTGTACAACAAATTATCAATCCGCTTCCTCAACAAGAATATTGGTGAGTTCACAGACTTCCTCATCTGAAACATTTACAATATATCTTCAGAAACTTCAGCCTAACGCAACGTCTACATGTCGGATGTCTTTGTCTAATTCAGTACCTCTCTCAAACGTTTCAACAAAGTCTCCATAGGATGTCACAACAGGCTAATGGCTCAATACTGTTTCGCTCAGGTTTTAAGGGATCTCGATGGAGAGAGATTTAGAGTAAAGGATCTGATTTTAATGAGTTCTGAATTAGTCCAAAGCTCAACCCAGGCTTTAGAGAAGGAGTGATAGCCTGTATGTAGACCACCCATTGATCAAAGAGGCTTCATGTTGTTTTTTCCCCCATGCAGTAACAGTAAGAGCTGACATGTAACAGGAAGCATACATGATGATATGATTGCATCGTAAGACAAATATTGCTTCAATTAGCACTGTTGACTGCAGCTTTGTAGTCATTGTAACATGTCTACTTTAAATATACATTTCACATACACAAAATAATTGGAGAATTGAGTTCCAGTGTACAAGGACCTGAACACAGCATTACTCACCTCTATGTAATTGTACATCGCCAGATCACAGATAGCTTGAGCATCTTTGTTTCTGAAGCTTGTGAACTGTTCAAGAGATGCAGCTGCAATACAGAATGTAAATACCCATGACACATTAACACATATACCACTGAGGTAACCACATTGTCAGTGACTCACAACATGGTGGTAGTGCTGACTCACGACATGGTGGTAGTACTGACTCACGACATGGTGGTAGTGCTGACTCAAGACATGGTGGTAGTGCTGACTCACAACATGGTGGTTGTGCTGACTCACAACATGGTGGTAGTGCTGACTCACAACATGGTGGTAGTACTGACTCACAACATGGTGGTAGTGCTGACTCACAACATGGAGGTTGTGCTGACTCATGACGTGGTGGTAGTGCTGACTCACAACATGGTGGTAGTACTGACTCACAACATGGTGGTAGTACTGACTCACAACATGGTGGTAGTACTGACTCACAACATGGTGGTAGTGCTGACTCACAACATGGTGGTTGTGCTGACTCACGACATGGTGGTAGTGCTGACTCACGACGTGGTGGTAGTGCTGACTCACTTGGTAGTAGTGCTGACTCACAACATGGTGGTAGTACTGACTCACAACATGGTGGTAGTGCTGACTCACAACATGGTGGTTGTGCTGACTCACAACGTGGTGGTAGTGCTGACTCACAACATGGTGGAAGTGCTGACTCACAACATGGTGGTTGTGCTGACTCACGACGTGGTGGTAGTGCTGACTCACGACATGGTGGTAGTGCTGACTCACAACATGGTGGAAGTGCTGACTCACAACATGGTGGTTGTGCTGACTCACGACGTGGTGGTAGTGCTGACTCACAACATGGTGGTAGTACTGACTCACAACATGGTGGTTGTACGAACTCACAACTTTGCCGCTGCTGTTCATGCATTGAATCATTGACTGGATTCACATCTGACAGCTTCTACTCCATCTCAGTGGTCACGCCATACTTACACAGGTCATTGTGACACTGGTCCAGTATTTCATCAAACACAAGGCAGTCTTCAAACCCCTGAAACAAGCAGATTGTAGTTTACAGTTTCTACTGTCATTAAGTATACTCCTAAAAGAAAAAACAAAAAACGCATAACCAGATGTTATGAGACAGTGTGGAAGTATCAACACCTCTGATAGGCCATTGGGATCAGAGATGGTTTATGAAGGTGATTCTGAAATGTCGGGTCAGATTATGTTCACAATCCGGGAATTGCTGTTGTTACAGAGGATGGTGGCGGGTACACCTTTGCAGCAAATGAACTTAGGGATTATGAAATGGTCCTGGGTTGTGTTGTAACAAGGGGGATGTCCTGACCAGCATCGGTCACGTGGTGACATAATGTTGTTGGTGCTCAGGGATACACTGAACATCCTGGGTAAAGCCATCTGCGATTCTCGTGTTTTCCAGTCATCTGAAGATATTGTTCCACTGTGTTCCAGTTAGTGGTCACCTGGCTTTGCAGTTGAACAGATGCTCCCAGACAAAGTTTTGGTAACTGAGAACCCACCATATGTATCGGCCTGTTGATCATTTTTATATGTGAGGTGCGGTTTATCGTCGCATCCAACATTATTGCACTTATATATACAGCGATTAGCATGCACTTGTGTGTGGTATGTGGTTTTCCTAGTCTGGACCAATGCCAAGTTTATAGTGCTAGCCCACTGAGACATGAATACCCCACTCAGACACAGTATACTGACTCCGAGCCGACCAGTCCTTGTTTTAGTCCCTTAATTCTGATCATCAGGCAGGGTAACAACAAGTACCATTTTTTAACATCTTTTGGTATGATGCAGCCAGGGATCGAACCCCTGACCTTCCAGGCAATGTCTACCACTAGACCATGGAGCCGGACCATTTAAACGTGAAGATGCATGTGCATTAACCTTAACCTTGTTGTTTTCATATAGTGTTTTCTTTCTGCTTTATTTCTTTTACCTAGTTAGGCCTATATGACACACATTACATCTATGTTCTCCTGTATAGAGAAGCTTGGTATAACATGTTCCTGACAAAGATTGCCTCTGCACACCTAGATGTTTTCTGTAAACTCAAACCTTTAGGGTCGGAATGTGATTATAAGGACTAGACTAGGGAGATACACTAGATTACAATAGAAACCTTACTATCCACTCAGTCAACACAGCAATACAACAACAATATTAGCAGTCAATGAAAATATTTGTCTGCCAAATGTTGACATGAACATATGTCACTTCAAAGAGTTCATGTAGCTTGGAGTAGTTTTGACATCATCACTACAAAATGTTCCCTAATGTTTTATTGTAAATTGTTGGATGGGCATCAAGTATTTGAGACATGATGTCCCAGAGCAAGATCTTACAGCATTCATTCCTTGTCCATAGAACGGTACCATGGCATGGGCTGCATCTCCCATCAGTACTGCCTTGTCTCCGACATGATAAGGTGAGCACTGGAAAAGTATACTTTCATTTATGTAAGAAATATATGACAAGGGGGCATTGTTTACAGTACAATAAAACACTTCAAGGAAAACAAACAACAGGCCTTGAGTGGTTTATTCTCAATGTAGTGTTTTATTGTACAATAAACAATGACCAAATTATCACAAAGTGAGTGAGTGAGTGAGTTGGGTTTAACGCCGCTTTTAACAGTATTCCAGTTATATCGCGGCGTGTCAGCTTAATGTAGGAGGAAAGCCCGAAGTGATGCAGGTCTCAGACGTTTACCACTTCGGTGAAACCCACGAGCACGGGTATGGTGCTGACAAACCTAGAAACATAATTGGGGCGAACCGGGGTTCGAACCCACAATCATAGGTTTCTGGCGTGCCCAAGGGACGCAACTCTGCACAGCGAATCGCGGCGCCTTAGACGACTGGGCCAACCGTGCCCCCAAATTATCACAAAGATATCTTATATATGAAAATAATATTTTTACACATTTATCTACATTTTCTCACACTCGATAAAAACCATGAGTAATATCAAATAACCCACTGACATGTACTGTACTACCCACAAATACTAACATTGAATGTACTACCCACAAATACTAACACTGAATGTACTTCCCACAAATACTAACATTGAATGTACTACCCACAAATACTAACATTGAATGTACTACCCACAAATACTAACATTGAATGTACTACCCACAAATACCAACACTGAATGTACTTCCCACAAATACTAACATTGAATGTACTACCCACAAATACTAACACTGAATGTACTACCCACAAATACTAACATTGAATGTACTTCCCACAAATACTAACATTGAATGTACTACCCACAAATACTAACACTGAATGTACTACCCACAAATACTAACATTGAATGTACTTCCCACAAATACTAACATTGAATGTACTTCCCACAAATACTAACACTGAATGTACTTCCCACAAATACTAACACTGAATGTACTTCCCACAAATACTAACATTGAATGTACTTCCCACAAATACTAACATTGAATGTACTTCCCACAATACTAACATTGAATGTACTTCCCACAAATACTAACACTAGTACTGAATGTACTTCCCACAAATACTAACATCGAATGTACTTCCCACAAATACTAACACTGAATGTACTTCCCACAAATACTAACATTGAATGTACTTCCCACAAATACTAACACTGAATGTACTTCCCACAAATACTAACACTGAATGTACTTCCCACAAATACTAACACTGAATGTACTTCCAACAAATACTAACACTGAATGTACTACCCACAATTACTAACACTAGTACTGAATGTACTTCCCACAAATACTAACACTGAATGTACTTCCCACAAATACTAACATTGAATGTACTACCCACAAATACTAACATTGAATGTACTTCCCACAAATACTAACACTAGTACTGCATGTACTTCCCACAAATACTAACACTGAATGTACTTCCAACAAATACTAACACTGCATGTACTTCCCACAAATACTAACACTGAATGTACTTCCAACAAATACTAACACTGAATGTACTTCCCACAAATACTAACACTGAATGTACTACCCACAAATACTAACACTGAATGTACTACCCACAAATACTAACACTGAATGTACTTCCCACAAATACTAACACTGAATGTACTTCCCACAAATACTAACACTGAATGTACTTCCAACAAATACTAACACTGAATGTACTTCCCACAAATACTAACACTGAATGTACTACCCACAAATACTAACACTGAATGTACTACCCACAAATACTAACATTGAATGTACTTCCCACAAATACTAACATCGAATGTACTTCCCACAAATACTAACATTGAATGTACTTCCCACAATACTAACATTGAATGTACTTCCCACAAATACTAACACTGAATGTACTTCCAACAAATACTAACACTGAATGTACTTCCCACAAATACTAACACTGAATGTACTACCCACAAATACTAACACTGAATGTACTACCCACAAATACTAACATTGAATGTACTTCCCACAAATACTAACATCGAATGTACTTCCCACAAATACCAACAATTACATCAAAGAGACTGTTCCAAGGTCCAGTGACAGTTTCCATCACTGAGGGTCAACACGTAACTGGTGTCATGTGTGAGTCACTGAGCCAGTGTTATTAGGTAATCAGGCTTAGTGTTATGAGTTAGATGGTTAGACATCATGAAATTTGATCAAATATATGTACTTCAAGTTGTAGCAGGATCACGAGGGGTACATGGGGTTCTATGCGTCCCGCGTAAGGTTTTATACCACGAGCCGGAGGTATAAAAGCCAATGTGTCCCTCGTTATCCCGCTACAACAAATTTATCTTACCGACATGTTTTAATGTGACATTGTAAAAGAATTAACACAAATTCAAAATTGATAGAAAACAGCCGTTCGATTGAGCTGAGGTTAACTTGTGGTATGTCTCATGACTTCCATTGCCTCGGAAAAAGCATGCGGCTGTTTGCTCTGAAGCGGGGTATAAGGGTATTCTGCCCCTAAGAAATCCACAAGCAGTTTATATAGCTTGTGGCAGGGTATAAGAGATTTGTTCCCTGGTGAAAAATTTATTACCCTCCAAGGCAGGTTACACAGTATTTTATCAAGATCATGCGGACCAATCAGATCTCATCATTCTGACATGGAGGTATGATAAATGTATTTGTAGATCCTCTTGAATGGACAGATGTGAGTGGATGTCAGGAATGTTACATAGGTAATGATAAACTTACCTTGATAGACACCATCGGCAAACCTTTACTACTCAAGTAGGTTTTCTTCAATGCAGCTCTGAAATACAGACAGACCGTGCTGTAACATCCCTATAGATTTGTGCTCAACTGACTATTTAAGGTTCAGACATCATAAAGTGATCTTTGATCTAATGTTTTTACCTATGTGAATCTCTACAAACTGAAATTTGTAAATGGTAATTATTTAAAAAGTAAAAGTTAATATACAGCGGTTTAAGGCTTAATCACATCAGTGTCCTTTGACTTTCTTAATAAGTCCCTGCCCAAAACATCTTTTACAGACGACCCTCTAGAAGTATCTATCTTTTTTTCATGAACCTCAACTTAGTTATGAAATATTTCTACATTTAATATTTATTACTACCCTCATCCAAATTTGGAATTCTTATCACAGCCTCGCCCTTGAACTTGTCAAGTTTCTCAATGCTACTCTGCTACTCTGATATTCTCCTCACAGCACATGCTCTTGACCTCTCTAACTGTCCATTCTAAAATGTTTCATAAAAACAAAAATGTTTTCTTGAATAAAGGTAACACGTAAACATTCCTCAGAACATCCAGTCTCTGTTTTTTATCTCATTTATATCAGGTAATTTACCATATAAGGAATTTCACAAGTTGTGAAAAAATTGAGAACAAATATTTTATTCTTGCTAAGAAGCAAAACAAAGTAGGTCAATAGGGAACTGATTCTTTTTACTTTTCATTAATAAACAAACAATATTTGTTTTCATATTTCACCTCACTGACATTTGTTTTAGGATTACACATAAAATAAGACATGATATTAAATTATATTTTTATCTCATTTCAACCCCTGACAAACAAAAAGGTGGCCAACTACAAAGGACAATTAAAATATGTTTGACTATTCAAAACATTACAGGAAGAATCATTTCACCAAAATAACTATCACACTTTATTTCATTTCATCAATAAATTATTTCTTTCCCAAAGAAAATAAGTCCCATAAGAAACACATATTTTAGCAAAGTATCCTTGAACATTGCATACTTTTCCAAGTTGTGATTAATCTGGAATCACAAATACAAACAAAATATAAAACTGTAAAAAGAAATATTAAAGAGAAGGTAAAAAATAATTCAAGACAAAGAGAATTCTGGATCCAGGGCCTTGCAGATCTTAGCATCAATTTTGACAGGACTGCATTAGGCACCAGTAGAGTTATCCTCCATAACTCTTGATCCAAACTCCATGCCAGTGCGTGCTACCATCATATACAGTGATAGAGTTGTGACTGTGAGGAGCTTGCCAAAGTTGCCTTCTGCTAGTAGTGGAAGACACAGTAGCAGCAAGATTTGAGGACATTTGGCAGCAGTATGTCTTATTCATTGGAGGAAACAGATGGATAAAGTTTCAAGAATTTGACTGTCAAGGTAAGTGATGAAATTAATATGCTTTGTGTTTTCTGTGATATGTGGCAAATGCAGGTAAGCCAGACTGTCCCCAAGATCTATTCATTCCATCAGTGTTGTCTCAAGTTTCTATATAGTATAATCAAAGAATTCTGTATGGTCCTTAATTTCCCAGACAATAGATCTCTAAATATTTCTGGGGTCTAAATATGGTTTAGTTTTAAATTATAAATCTATAATCTAGTTGGAACACGTCTTTTCCAGTTTTCATTTTGTCATTCTTCAAACTGTTCATTGTCAACAGGACACCATGGAGTTTTTCTTGCAGTTCATTTTAACATGGTACTGGTCATATGTTGTAGAAGATTTGATGTGAAACAGGAATAGGTCATCCACAAGTGTACTGCAAAAGATGACTCCTCTTATGCTACCCATGATGAAAAACATTACAAGAGAAATGTTTTGGGAGGAATATAATCCACTGATTACAAAGATTTTAACAAGTAAACTATCTGAGAATTCGCCTTTTGTCCCTGTCCCCCACAAATATGCAAAGAGGAGGGGGGTGCAGTGTTGGGGATCAGGAAATTAGAATCTTTAATATTGTACAGACTCCAAAGTTACCTATGCTTTGATATACCCTTGATAACCTGCAAAGTTTTTCGTGGGGCACCCACTATGTACTCTCACAGGTTGAATGTGTTAATCCCCAACTCTGTAGTACAATATTTGTTTACAAACTTTGGTAGGTAAGACCGCCACCAATAGTGTACGATCTTCAAAGAACAGATTCCATCTAGGATTTCTAACATGTTGTGAGACAATAGGTCTATTTCACAAGTTTATACCTCTCGTGTAAAGTTCTAGTTTGGTATAGATGGTGTGTATCCTGACAACAATATTAATTCACATTATTGCCCTGATTGAAAAATAATTAAAATAAGTTTTACAGTATTTCTATTTTGGACAGGATCAGGCTATTTTGCCATTTTGCTTGACACAGGCATCCTATTTTCAAATCCAAATTTCTTGGGCTGTTTTCAAAATCTGTTAAAGAGCATTTCAAGAAATGACAAAGGTTACACAGGATCTAAGAAATGTCCTGAATCATATTCATAACTTTTAAGACCAAGTTACTTTCATATTTTCTCTTTTGGCAGTAAGTTAGCAATAGTTATCTGGAAATTGTATAAGAGTGGATTAAATCAAGAAACCTTACTAAAACAGCTGAGTGAGTGAGTAACAGTATTCCTGTTGTATCACGGCATGTCAGCTTAAAGTTGGAGGAAAACCCGAAGTGATGCAGGTCTCAGAGGTTTACTACTTTGGTGAAACCCATGAGCACAGGTATGGTGCTCACAAACCAAGAAACATAATCTGGGTGAACAAGGATTCGAACCCACAATCATAGGTTTCTGGCGTGCCCAAGGGATGCAACTCTGCACAGTGAATCGCGACAACTGGGCCACCCATGCCCCCAAAACAGCTGAGAGATTACTCACTCTCCAATGATTGGTATGGAGTCAGGAAATTTAGCTGTGAAGAATTCCATCAGTTCCTTTTCCGTTGTGATTTCCTCGAACCTGTCAAACTTCATGAACAGGGTGGCAGTGAATGTCTTGTCTTGGTTGGGCAGACCAATCATCATGAACTCATTTCGTGGCCATATGTGAAGATAGTTGGTGGCCATAGCAAACTAGTAACAGAAACTTATTGCTTGTCATACAAGACATATAGTTATGAACACAATAATATCACAACTGTCATGAACACATTGCCATCAACACATGTATTATTTCACAACAGCCATCAACACATGTATTATTTCACAACAGCCATCAACACATGGTTTATTTAACAACAGCCATCAACACATGGATTATTTCACAACAGCCATCAACACATGTATTATTTCACAACAGCCATCAACACATGGATTATTTCACAACAGCCATCAACACATGGATTATTTCACAACAGCCATCAACACATGGATTATTTCACAACAGCCATCAACACATGGATTATTTCACAAGTCATCAACACATGGATTATTTCACAAGTCATCAACACATTCCTCATACAGTCATGCCCCGCTTATACGGACTTCAGATATCCGGAAACCTCGGTTCCCGGACGATTTTCATTCCAAACGAAATAATTTCTATATAAATTTACCCGTATATACGCAAATTCAGTTTCCAGAACCGGATGGTCATTTTCATACACAAAACACTGAAATGCACACAGAATTGTCTCACTTATACACTTATATTACCCGGACAATACACTTCCGCTGGTGGTAATCCTTTGATTCGTGAGAAGTCAATTAACCAAGTGACACTGAGTTACGTTTGAGACGAGCTTGTTTATTGTACATGTAATCCCATTCCATAAATATGGCGTCTGTGGAGGTCAGAGGTCAAAGTTGTGACTTCAAACTGTGAGTAAGGCCTGTCAACCAGCGAAATGTAAGTAACACGCAGTTACAGCACGCGCAAAAAGGGAAATTTGTCTGTTTAAGGAAAAACACCCGTCAGCAAGTTTGGAATTTGGAATTATTGTTTAAAATTCAAACCTCAAAATGTGGTAAAGTCCAAACTTCCATGACAGATTTTTTGAAACGTGTATGTCTTGAATAAAGATTGAGTGGATGTATCTGTTTGCTCTGTCATCTGTCATGAGTTGCATAATTGAAGGGAAGTAACTCTTCCAGTGAGAAGCTGGTTTCAGTTATACGGAAATTCGTTTATACGGACACGACTGTATCACACAACTGTCATTAACAAATGGATTATTTGATGATAGTCATCAACACAAATGTGAGGATAAGTACTAAGACACGTACACTCAGAGTCACATGAGTCAGGGTATTAAATGTTACACTTTGTACCAGAAAAGAATCCAGCCGTGTTCCAGCCACCTAAAGTGCTTCCTTCCACTCACCTCGCCTGATGGTGTAGGATTAATAACCAGCTCCATGTACCCATGTGGGATGTACTCCTGCGCATAGTTAAACCTACTGCTCTGTCGGATCATTTCTTTTCTCACGGATGAGAAAGCTCCATCATTGCCAAGGATTAGGTCAACGTGCTGTGTCACCTTGGTTTTATCTGGCCTGAAATGACATTGAGAATAAACTCATCTGAAAGCAAAAACATGATATTAAATTTTGGAACCAAAGGAAAGTTGAAATTCACATTTTTCCCCGACAGAAGTTACATAAACATATTCTTATTTTAGTTTAACTGTATGAAGGAAAACCACAACAAAATGATGGAAGTCAAACAAAACTATAGCAATGATCTAGACTCTGGAGATCACCTGTAAGATTTATTCTTTCGAGAAGACCATTTCACATTCAAAGTCAATTCAGCATTTTGGGGGTTTTGAGTTTTTGATAAACATTTTCATCTTTCATTAACCACTGTCAAGTTTCACATGAGCAAGTGACTGAAAATACTTATATTTTGGTCATTCAGCAATGACAAAGTTAAAGATTCTGTTTAATTGTTTAGAAATTCTAACTATTTACATCCAGGGTCATTTTTTCTTATAATATTTGTTCGTGCTGACATCTGAAAAGATCACCTGGAACCATGACTTTCTCTCTATCAGTAGAAGACAACACTCTTGACACATTTTACCTTTACCAATATGTACGTTGTTGTAATAAGGCTGTACAATAAAGTCGAAATCAGATTTTTCACGGCCACAGCTGATAACACAACAAGTTTGTGAAGATTTGCTCACTTCTTAAATTATGCAGATACAGTGATCCCAGAAGGCTTCATGTAATACCATTAAAAAAAAAAGCTACCTCCAGGCATGTGTCAACAGCTTTCAAAACTATCTTATCTTTGATGACTTTTGGGATTTTTAAAACTATTCCCTCTGAAGAAAACCATTCAAATGCGATTACAATTGTCAGCTAAGGGACGTACATAACTTCACACCTTCACACATAGCAGTTTTACTCTAACGAATATAGGACAACAGGATCGATTAAAGTATATAAAGTGTTCTTGACACATTGTATATCACTTCTAAATAATTTACTTACTTTTCAAAGATGATTTCCCCAGTTTGAAAGTCACAGCTGACAAGTTTGTGTTCAAAGTGGAGACTGACATTCTCTCTTTCATCTGCAGCTGGAACATGAAGACTCGTACACTAAACCACCTGGCTGGGATACTATTATATGGATAACATGTACTATTATTTCAAAAAAGTGGAACCACTTTTAACACAGAAGTTTTATCCTAATATTTTGTTTGTTAATTGTTTAATGCCACACTCAGCAATATTCCAACTATATGACCGCGGTCTGTAAATAATCGAGTCTGGACCAGACAATCTTGTGATTGACATCATGAGGATCAATCCACGCAATTGGGATCGATGACATGCATCAACCAAGTCTGCATCAACCAAGTCTGCACCCACCCAGATCTTCACGGGTCTGATCCTAATGTATGGGTATTGAATAAGTGGTGACAGTCGCTTCTAATCCTACTGTATATATGGCATACATGAGATATGTGTTTGTCATTCCACTACAGGTATGGTATAAGCCGAGTTATTTTATTGTCATCCTCCTGCATATATGCATAAAGTGAGATATTTGCTTGTTATCCTACTGCATGTGTAGTTCAAGTGGACATATTTGCTTGTTATCCTACTTTGTGTATGGTACAAGTTGAGATATTTGCTTGTTATCCCACTGCACCTTAGCTTTGGTATAAGTTGATATATTTTATTGTTAACCTACTGCATGTACAGTGTTTATTCTACATGTACATAAGCAGGGTTGGTCCATCAGTGACAAAATGTCAGGTAATTTCCAAAAAGAAGCCATGGACATAACACTTTTTTCTTGAAACAAACAGTCAGTACCAGACACAGCCACTTGCAGTTCAGCTCACTGACCTTCAAAAACATGCATGGAGATTAATGATTTGACTGTGATACTTGACATAATCTTGACACAATCTTGACACATGACAAAAACCTAAGGAAGCTGGTAAAACAAATGCCACCACCTTGCTATTCATGGCAGCCAGAAAGCTTATATCAGTCCCAGGTGAATTATGAGGTAAAATCATCAAAATTCTGTGGTAAAATTCCAAAACTCTGCCATAAACAGAATAAAACATTAAAACAAATACGTAAAAACATTTCCTACTAAAAAATTAATAAAACTCTTCTTTTTTTTCTTTACAAATCTTAATCTCTTGCATTTAGACATTTCAGGTGGGTTTCACATGTCAACTTTATTTAGTTAGAATACCACATGAACGTTACAAAAGGGAGAATTACTATTCAAATTTTGTTTTATTGTAGGATTCATATGTTGTGTGTTCGCAAGGTAAATGTTTGAGCATCAGTCAATTTCGAAATTTCATGGAAACACTTGAAAATAATGAAAATGAATAAAATCTAAATATGCTATACATTGGATACTTATCCTGCAAGCTTTTACTACTGGAATAAACGGAAACATCAAACCATCTAGTCTGGGGTAATTTCTACCCATGCCACATCTCAGAGATAATGACAGGGATAAAACAGCAAAGTCAGTAGCCGAGCACCCAAACCAACCCTCCATTATGGATTCAATGGAACAATTGCTGTGGAGAGCCATGGTCAAGCGACAGCTCGAATCTCATGAGGGTTGTTGGCTCTAGGCAGGTCCATACCAGCGAGGTCGTAAGTCTGCAAGATAATGAAGTACAGCCTCAATGAGTTAGTGTTACGACTAACTTCCATCTGGGATGCAGGCAGAACCAGAATGAACAATTGTTTCCGAGATCCACATAGTGTCTTGGATCGACGATAATGGAAGAACGTGGGAAGGATCTGTACAGCTGTGCTGGGAGTTGATTCTTAGCAATGAAATCTCAGCACAAGCCAAGAATGACAGCACCGTGCGCTCTGCGCTTGTACCATACTTGTGAGACATGAAGGGTGTGCAACTTGCTGACTAGAGCTGCTGTAGCTATAACCAAGAAAAATGCCTTCTTTTTGGCAGATTGAAGGAAGAAGATGAGTGGAGTGGTTCAAAGGAAGTGATACGGAGCGACTACAATACCACGTTCAAATCTCAGGCTGGTGGATGAAACTTGGCACCTTATATTAATCCTCAAAGATGCAACAACCGCAATAATGACTGAAGTTTCGGAATCTTGGTTATTCTGAGATCCATAGGAACAGCCAACACCAATTTAAGGGCAACCAGATAAGTTCATTGTTATGGTACTACCCTTGAAGTGAAAGTGAACTTGTCTGGAGCTGGTTATGGCAACTGATGGTAGGGGATGTACCAGTAGATGTGCCCCCCCGGGCTAATTTTGGTTGGTGGTGAATGGGTTGATGAGTTGCAGGCTGAACTGCTGACACACAAGGGTGAAGGAATCTGGGTTGAGCATCCACTCTATAGGAGCTACTTCGTCCGGTCTGGAGAGTGTGTCTGCCAGGATGTTGTGACAACCAGGGATGTGCTGGATGATGAACCTTGGAAAAGTCTGAGACAGTAGGAATGAAAAGTGGGGAGTCCCCTAGTTGCTAGGACACCAGACAATCGTGATGTTGCCTGTGGATATGGCATGCACTGTGCGCTTAAGATGGATCTGCCAGTGAGACACGTCCAGGATGATTGCTTCAAGTTCCAGATTGTTGATGTGCCACCAGTGCTGATCGTTTTACCAGAGACCAGAGGCAGTCTTGTCCTCCAGATGAGCCCCCTTAACCCTGTCATGAGGTGTCGATGAACAGGTGGAGTGTGGGCTTGAGCGCAGTCAAGGAGACACCGTCGCAGACATTCGATTCCACTGTACTTCAATGAAGATACAGGCTGGGGTCAATCGGGAGCGTTATGGAGGCAAGAGGGTTCTGCCCACGAATAAATGGAGCCAGAAACTGCTGTAGCAGGCGAGGTTGGAGTTGGCCTCTGGACGTCAGACCCATTAATACCTGCCATTGACGAAGTGTACAAACCTGGTAGGGTAGGAAGGAGATTGTGCCACCTGTCATTTGGTACTAGGAGGAGATCCTGGTCCATGTGAAACAGGCCACCTATGAGTAAGTTCTGACTTGAGCTCGTTGATGATCCTCCCCAGTTGAGCAAGTACACTACGAGTGATAACATTGTGAAGGAGGTCCTGATGATTCAGTAGACAATCATTGATGTAAGCCTTGAAATGAATGTTCCTCAAGTGCAGGTATGTGGCATTTGGCTTGGTAATCTGGGTAAATAACCACGGGGCCATGGAAATGCCAAATGGGAGGTTCAGCAACTGGTATTGGATAACCTGGAAAAAAAACCTGAGGAACTGCCGGCAACTGGGGAGGATTGGCACATGAATATCAGTGAGTCGTTGGCATTGATTCTGGTCCTGAGCAGTCTCAACATGGTCAGACGAAAATATGCAGGTTGTACCAGGTAACGCTTGTTGAATACGGCGAGATTGTGGATCATACAGTATTCAGAAGAATCATTCTTGGGCACCAGGAACACTGGGGAGTAGAAGCCTGGATGGCCACTGTATTAGGAACAATCTCAACCACCCACTTGAGCACCAGAAGCTGAATGGTCTTGAGCAAGAGCTGAGCCCGAGAGGGGTGGGTGTCAGGCAAAGGGCACGAGGTTCACGGTGGGTCTGCCATGAGAGAGAACCAGTACCACTGATGAAGGTTTGTTGGTTGTGTTTGTTGTTTAACGCCAAACGCAGCAATATTCCAGCTATATGACTGCGGTCTGTAAATAATGAAGTCTGTACCAGAAAATCCAGTGATTGGCATCATGAGCATTGATCCATGCAATTGGGATACGATGATAAGTATTAACTAAGTCAGCAAGCCTGAACACCCGATCCCATTTGTCGCCTCTTACAACAAGCAGTCACCCCTGATGAAGGATGTTGGTGACAGAATTGTCAGGACGTAAGCACCTGCCTCCACTAGCGAAGGTGATAATTGCCTTTGGCTTAGAACCGTCTTGACCATTGTCACAAAAAGGAAGAAGCGTTGGTGGGAATCTTAAAAGAGGCGCGTCTGGGCTGATAATTGCCTGTTTTAATTTGGATTGATTGGAGACATGCTCCAGGGCGTTTTGCACCGATTCAACAAGGCAAAGCTGGACATACGTGTGTTGGTTTCAGAGACGGCGCCATTGAAGAGCAGAGTGCACTCCAAGGCTGACAAAGGAGTTGCCTCTTGAACTCAGAATCCCAATCCGTTATGGTGAGATAACCATGGTGCCTGGTGGTGGTGATCTCAGCCAAGGCTGCCCGGAGATGATTATGAAGAAGGTCGAATTGATGTTGTTGAAAAGACAACATAGTACGAAAGTGATTGACCCAATTAGGATTGTCCTTGTTGAGATCCTGATCATTGGCTCTGGCAGAAGAGGATACAACGGGTAAGTGAGGAGGGGGCTTTGGTTGTTAGTTCGGCAGGGTCTATTTTCCTGTGAAATTATAGCCTGGTATTATAAATTATAGACACTTTTTGGAGATAAGCGGGTCCCTTGAAGTGCTGTGATGAGAGGTTCATTTTTGTTAAGGGTGATGAGTCCATTGCAGTTCCACTGTATTATCACCATTGTTATGAGATGGATCAAGAAGGTAGGCATAAATGACATGGTGATGGGGCTAATTTTGAGATGATTTTATTTTACATAATGTGATTTGAGTTTATTCTTAGTCTGTGAGTGGCAGTTTTTGTTTACAAGTAATGCTTTTCCGTTTTTTGCTAAAATAGTGTGGGTGGCGGCAAGGTTGTATGAGAGTTGTAGTGGTTGTGCGTGATATTGGGATTGAGGGTTGTGATGGGGGAGGGTTGTGATGGGGGATAGTTGGGTGCCAGTGGTATGGGGAGGGTGAATTTAAAGTGGGTTTGGACCTGTGTGTTGGTTTGAGTAGGGGCTGTAGTTGGGAGGAGGGCTGGTTTAGGGAGGAGGGCAGGCTGTGTTTGTGTATTGGGGTTGGTGGTGGGCCAGGATGTGTATGTCTGCTATGGTTACTGTGTGTGTGAAGGTTGGTTGAGAAGTTGGGGGTAGTTGTTTAGGTTTAGGTTTTTGTCTAAGGTTTTGGGAGGAGGGGTTAAAAGGACTGATGGAGAAGTTAATCTTTGCATATATGGCATTGAATGTACACTTTGTGGATTGGTTTATGTTGGAATAGTCCAGGAGTAGGGATTAGATGGAGAAGAACAAGCTGAGAAGGATGCTCTCATTTAACCAGAAGTGGGTTTGTTCAAAAAAGTATATTCACATAGACATAACAACTAAATATGATATTGTTTAGGGTACCTTTGAAAAAGAATACATGACCATGTATTTAATATATGAGGTTTAATGAGGTAGTAACCAATCAGAAGTAAGTAAAACAAACAAAAAAGATATTAAAGTAGCTATGGCATACATATGCAAGATTCCACTTGCCACTCTTAAAACTAGAAGTTTTGTGTCTTTATTACATAAAGAAGAAGAGTCCAGACCATTATATCATCAATTGGACGAAATCGTAATGGCGAAGGCGGTAAACCTCACTGGAATCGCAGTCCCGTAGTACTACTACAATCCTTTTGTTATACCTAGCTTAATTTTCTAGAATTACTTACATAGCTCAATCTTTCTAAAAAAAACTGTCCTATTTATCGAGTTAATAAATGATAATAAATGTGTATTTTGAATTTAAGGAGATTTCCGGTGATGTGATTTTTTATTTGCTTCTCACATGACCATTCTTGTTTCAACAAACTTCAAAAAGTGACATTTACAAAGTATAAACTTTACCTTTTGACATTTACATGATTTTGGACTGGAACTACTTTTCATGGATATTCCCCAAGTTCTCTCATTTCTCTGCTGTCACAATCCCCTGCATACCACAATCATGAGAATCAGCAATATTGGACACTATGTTAACATTCCTTTTTTACACAATGTTTCATTAAAACACTTATTTACATATTCCAATTAACCCATGGATGCCAGAGAGACATATGCCCTTTCTCTACAAGCCTCACATTGAAGTTGAATAAAATTCAAAACACATCACGCACACAAATACACCGCAAGTTTTCAATTCTCTGGGAAATTCCCTGTTCTGTGATATCATCCCCTGTCATTTTCAGCAAAGCAAAATTACTGAAAATGTCCTCTGAAAATTTGGAACTTCATAAATCTTGCCATTTTTGACACAATACAAAATCACCATTCTGGCATTTACTTAGTGCATGTTTTGAGATCAAAACATCGGATATTTGCTCAAAGAATTGTGTTTCAAACATAGGCCTAGCATATTTGTGATCAGAGTACTGATCACGGGTATCTGGATTTTTTTTATCAAATCACCAATAATTATTTTGAAACATCACTGATAACCCTAGAATCGATAAGAATGTTTTGGGAAAACACGAACGCCGAAGTTGACTTTCCGCCACATTGGACATTGTTTTCAAAATCCTGTTCACGTATGCCGGTAATGAGACACCTTTTACACCACATATATTTCAAACTCACCTGCAATACATATATCACTGAATTCGTCATACATTTGTCACCAATAGGCCTTTTAACTATCTAAATGAACTTGCGAAAAAAAATAGGTGTGAAAAATAAAATTCTGATTTTACACTATATAGCTTTCTTACCTATTTTTGAGAGATTCATTCATATGGTCGTTGCATACAATGGCATAATATTTTAAGAATATGCATGGGAAGAATATCGTAACAAGAATTAGGGAAATAAAAAAAAGATACATATTACCATGATTTGGTAAATTCAATAGAAATAGTCAAAGTTTCCGTCCTGCGTGATGCCATGACTGACGCAATATATATAAATACAATCTCAGATCTCTGATGACCGTTTCACGATTAATGATGATCAAACTGCTGTAAAACGTAATAGGAACATGTGTAAATATCCTTAAAGTACCCACAATCTAATGACCTCAAGCTCACAAAATCCTGACAAGTTGCACATAACATAGTGATTAATGATGTATTAAGTGTTTTCAAAGATTGTCTTTGTGTGAAATAGTAAGAGTTAGTAAGACATACAATTGTGTTTACATGCACTTGGTGCACTTTTCAATAATTTCTTGCACTGGTGCATGTTTTATAGAGCTACATCAGCCCTGATATATCAGATCATTGTTCCAGTTATTGGTATTAATGAAGTACAGATGCTTGCTTATTTCACAATATTTGATGTAGTGTGATTAATCATATGTTTTTATTCATATGACTTTAGCAAATAAATATAGCTTGAGTCTCATTGTCGCTTAGTTTAGATAATATTTATACATAACATTAGTTAATTCCTCACTGTAATGTTATTGCACAATTACTCAACAATTAAAAAACAAACATTCACCCCATTTGAATTCACTTAAGAGTAGACAGGAGATACAAGTCATAATATAAAATGAGGATTGAAATATATTATCTATCTAATCTAAGTGAAATAATCTCATTATAATCAGATCTTAGTTCCCGCTACCACAAACAAAGATCTGAGGACATCCCATTACGGTTCATGTCAGAGCGACCTTTCAGGACTTTTTTGTTTTGCGTAATGAGATGAGATTAAAGTGAAACATGATATAGGTCTGTAAAGACTTGCTGCCAATATTGAAAAACGCTGACTTAGATCCAAACTTTCTGATTCAGGATTCAGATTCTGCTACGAAATTGGTCCGAACGAATCTAATGAAAATCATCTGAGCTGACCCTGTGTCAATATTGCACCACTTTGCTTATATGCCCTGTGGTTCTTTAGAAGAAGATGTTAAAACTTTTAGTACAATATGATGTTTTGAATATTTGAGAAAATAATAAGGTGTCATCATAAGAAGGAATGCCCAAATTCAGCTTCATCAGTCAAGCAGTCTCAACTCAATAGCCTGGCTTTGACCAGACAATCTGATCGGAATTCTGTTAGCAATGTTTAGAGACACCATAGATGGGATCATTCATATACAAAGTTTCAGCTCCGTGAGAGGAGATGGCAAAAATGCAAAAGTTAAAGTCGAAGGACAGCAGACCACACTTCGCAACATAAGCTCGCTTGACTTTTAGTCAGGTTAGCTAAAATCCTAATGGAGACATACACAGTGGTCAAAATGGGCCAAAACTGACAACATTGTGGTAACACATTCACATGACTAACTCAGTTGCACCACATTATGGACACATTTACAAACCAAGCACACCTTAACAGCCTTTATCTCACAGTAACAGAGCAAGCAACTTGTAAATATGTTACAATTACAGTTTGTAGAATAGGATTGTTCATACCTTACCTGATAAGAGTAATTCATTCAGACGCCTCCTGTCAACTGACATGATATACTGCAATAGAAAACCAGTTGACAATTGGGGCATTTATTATTGTGGCACATTTGGAGTGAGATAATGAACTGTAGTGGACCTGACCTACATTTGTCGTCAGTGTTGATATTCAAATATTCAAGCATATGTATTGGATACAATAACAAACTAAACAAATACCAAATTTGACATTTTTACAAAAATGACCGATGAATGGACATAGATTACTGTTTCAATATGGTTATGATCGTATTGCCATATTCACTATTTACCTTAACATTTAAAAAAACCTTTTACACTTAATTTCATGAAAATAAGTTCTGGTTGAGTTATGAATGCCCATGCAAAGGGTCTAATTCAGTATGTAACGCCAAAGTACAGTTCAGTTTTTACAAATACATGAAAATCAACGTGAACTTCACATATATACTCACACGCAAAAGAAACGCAAGTGGTTTTAAGCAAATAGGTAACAAACACGGAACCATAACTTGATACGAGTTTTAGCATGTAGTGAAGCCTGATGGTGTTATCAATATTTTTGGTTGCATTTTGGAAGCCCCGAGTAAAAACGCAACATAAAAAACGAATCGCCAAAACGCACCATTTCAATGAATATGTGGGTATCAAGCACCCATTTCTCGCGAAATCGAAAATGCACAAACTGTCACGAACTGTAGTGGGTGGGTATAAAACTGTGGCCAATTCTTCGACCTACCACACCTTGGTCAACAATGCCAGGCCTAACTCAAATTCAGAGAAACCAGGCTATCGGAGGTTTGGAGTCTGTCCAAGATGTTGCCCGTCATTTCAACGTTAACATAACCACAATTTACCGTCTCCTGCATCGATACAATGCAACACAGACCACACATGACCTTCCTCGGAGCGTTCATCCTAGGGTCACCACACCTTGACAAGATAGGCAGATTACCCGTCAACACCAGCGACATCCACAAGGGAAAATTCCAATATATACAAAATATACAATTTTGTATATTTGGTATTTCCAAAATATAAAATTTTGTATAGTTGGTATATCCAAAACTATACAATTTTGTATATATGGATAGATTTTACCACTGCTTCATTGAATTTTTTTAGCCCGTAAGAGATATTCTTGGGGTTTGAAAATATTACTAATGTTACTGAACAGTATTTTTGCATGTGACAATAATACGTTAATACTATTTTCATTATGGCAACCATATTTGGAGTGTTATGAAATAACTTGTATTTCTTTATGTTGACAGCATTTTACATAAGAAATAGAACATTTGTGCAGATTTTAGTAACAGATAATGTAAATAATACCGCTGTCTTAATTAGATCGCGGTTTGAAAAAGCACTGTTTGTATAACGAAAGGCTGCCGCTGTTTTAACTATGTGGGGGTTAGAAAAGCACTGTTTGTATAACGAAAGGCTGCCGCTATTTTAACTAGGTCGGGGTTAGAAAAGCACTGTTTGTATAACGAAAGGCTGCCGCTGTTTTAACTAGGTCGGGGTTAGAAAAGCACTGTTTGTATAACGAAAGGCTGCCGCTGTATAAACTTAATTGGGGTTAGAAAAGTACTGTTTGTATAACGAAAGGCTGCCGCTGTCTTAACTAGGTCGGGGTTAGAAAAAACACTGTTTGTATAGCGATTGACTGATGCTGTCTTAAATAAATCGGGGTTAGAAAAGCACTGTTTGTATAACGAGAGGCTGGCGCTGTCTAAACTAGAATAACCACTAAACGAAATAGCGAGAGAGTAGCCTTTTAGCGATTGTCACGATCCTTGCAAAATAATAGATAAAAAATCCATGAATTTAAAATTGTACAAGGAAACATATATAGGAAACACTTTGTTGGAATAAATTCCTATTATATTACGTTCACGACATTAGTTCTGGAGTTTTCAAAGTAAAATTTCATATATATGTTTCTGTGATTTCATGTAATGGTGATTCTAAATATAAAATATTGGTTGATATTGTTTGACAAACAGTTGTACACACCGTCCATTGTGATACTTCTACTTAAGGATGTTTGTTTAGTCAATTGGCATGCGTTCCTTGTAAACAAGGATCATTAGAAAGGATTACTAAGTTTGTCATCCAGTATAATGCACTTCCACGATTAGCATAATTAGAACAGAGTTTGTAATTAGGTACATCCAGACTCCAGTTAATCAAGGCAGCTACATCAGTTGAGAGTGTGAGCAACTGGAGAAGAGGCGAGCAACTCAATGTGATTAATGAATTAGTGGAATTTTAATAAATAAACGAACGCCTGTCGCAAAAATGCATTCGAAAATTGAACACGCACAGTCGCAGATTTCTATGGTACATTTGAGGGTGAACGTGAACAAAGCCGTGCAGGATGCCTAACAGCGATTTGTCTTCAGAACACACAGTGAGCTCAGGTGATTTTATTAATGATGATATTTTCATTCATTCATAGATATGGCGATCATGAGCGCTGACACTATATGTGTTCGCAATAGAATATTTGGAAGACTAGACACATATTGATTCACTATATGACAACATCAAATCCAGCATTTGTTTAATGCAACAGGTTTAAAGCATTCAAAATTGTGCATTATTATAAAATACAATGTGTGTCGCTTCGTCTCCCATGTCAAATACATTAATGATTTGTTTTAAATAAGATTTAATATTACTATGACTTTTACATTATAACTAAAATTATGGAGTCTTGCATGTTCCAGTCAACAAACTATTGTACATATTATTTACTTTGGAATTTCTGTTTACTGTGTTTGCGGTGGGGTCCACAATTCCCCAAATGGACAATTCCAAATACTACTGCGTAAAATATTAATGCTGATTTGGAGAAAATTACCAAATGGATGAAAGTAAGTAAAAATTGAATCCAGAGAAAACAGAAACTTTCTATTTCACATTAAATAAAAGTCTTCCCAAGTGCAAAACCTAATCTTAAAATGAAAGGAAGTAATATTTATGACTTTGGGAATAATATTTCAGTCAGATTCTGATATTGACGAGTTAAAAAGGAAATCCCTATGATTAATTGCCTTAGAAGTCTTAGATACCTTTCTGGTGTCCACCGCCGTGAACCATACTCACTCACTCAGTTAAATAACTCCTTTCACATAAATCGTTAGAAGTTATGAACAAGCATATAATGCCCATATTTTGGATAATTGTACCAAGAACAAGAATTAATCCTAGAATGTTTACACTAAGATTCATTCCGGACGCTGAAATAATGCCAATGAGACGTTAAATTTTAACTCACTCACTCAATACGGACTATACGGACTATTTGTGGGGCGATAAGGGGTACAGGCCACGAGAAAATTTATAGAGAAACTAACACAGCCATTACACCTTTTTACAAGATGAAAAACATCTTTGCTGTTAGTAATTACATTTATAGAAATCGAACCAATATACAGGCTATATGTTGTAGAACAGAATGCTTTGCCAAGTTATTCCAACCTGATCCCATTAATAATTGGAATAGTCATCTGATATAGAGGATTATTAAACTTGGACAATGTTACTTATATACAGTTAAGCCATGATACCAGATTTTGTCACATAATCCTTTATCGCCTCGGACTCGGTTGTAGTGATTTAAACTTCCATCGGCTTAAAAGACAATATATTAAGAAACGATTCGCCTTTCTATTCTAAAGGATAAGTGAGTTTATATTCAGTGGTTTATGGGAAACAATTTGTCAATTTAGCTATTTTGAAATCGGTCCATGTACATCCTACGTTCGGGTGAATTTGCACTAATGTTATAACTTAAGAATTAATTCATATTTTAAGACATGTATTAAGTATTAAACAGTTAAATAGCTTTTCTTAGTAATTGAACACCTTTCCATCGACCGCACCAAACTGTTGACCAATCGTTTTTCATGTATTCTACGTCAAATAAGATCAGAACACGTGTATAATTACAACATCCTCAGGATACCAATAACAACGAAATGTACAAATTAACAAACATGACAACATTATTATTTCATGATAATGTAGGTGTCATGCATGTAATTATAGCTATATAAACATATGTTTAATTATTCAGTTTGTGTGAAGTCGGTCATAAATACAAGAAACAGTTGATTCTGAAATTCTTTAATCATGTACTTTTAAGTATATTTTCCCAATATTATATTATCCCCAAAAGGGCAATTATATTCATGTTATATTTTTTCAGTCAATTTTTTAATACGAATTACGTAACATTTATGCTACTTTATGCCAATGTTGTTGTTACAGACCCAGGGACTGACTAGGTTCATTACATGTCATAAAAGTGTCGGGACATAATGTGGTGGCAATACATTCTCTAATTAACACCCGTCACAAAGGGACGGGCCATTTGGGTTTGTCCTCAGGGAATGTGTTATGCAATTTGTGTATTCACAAAATAACATTCAACAAATCGGGTGATTTTGGATTGATGCATTTGTACTTTGTATAAATAAATGAATTACATTATTTTCTTAATCGTGTGCGAAATACGCATAATGTCGGAAAGCGCAAGTTAAATCCCCAAATACTGACTTCGTTCCTAAATAAATCACAACCCTCACTTATAATTGTATCACTTTAAAATTTAATGATGTAAATCACGTATCTGTCACTTTTAATGTAGAATACGTCAGTCACTCAACCAGTTCCACTATTATTTTCCCAAAAGATCAAAGATTAAAAACAGTTATTATTTCCATATCTTTAGATATACTTAATTTTAACATTGAAACTGCCATCTTGATGTATTATTCTGTATTGAATGACATTAGATATATGCTCCTATACCGCCGCTGGTGTCTTAATTTGCGAGAATTAAACATTTGGTTTGCATCCAACCATGCACGTCCCAAATTATACAGCGTCAAGCTTTCAGATCTCTAAATAAGTTTTCCAAAGTAGAAATTAAGCAAAATGAATATTTACCAAGTTTCCTTTTGCTAGAACATATGCATGCTGTTGTGGTTTTTCAAAAAAAATCTTCGTTCTCTCTGTTGTTAACAATA